GTGCTCCGCTCGTTGTTGTGAGCGTCGCTCCTCCGCCCTCCGTTGTTGTTGGAGGGCGACTACCTCCAACTACCCAGTAGCGTCCTTCACGAGCCTCCTCCACAGAGGCCGATCTTGACACCGCTGGTACCAGTCATCGGCAAGTCCACTCAGCTCCACGTCCTCCTGTACCACATCACTCCATCTCTTCTCTAGCCCGTGCCGCGCCCGTTTAGCCCCCTCAATCCGGCCAAACAAAAGCTGTTTCGGCATGCGGTGGCTGGGCATGCGGGCTACATGACCCAGCCATCGCAGCCTTGCCCGCCGGAGGAGCTCACCGATGGGACCTTGCCCAGATCTTTCAAGGATTTGTGAGCTCCTCATACAATCCAGTCTGGTTAAACCCAGCATCGTAGGCAGGCCAGCCTAATGTTTCTAACCGGTGAAGATGTTCCATTAGGGGGGTCCACGTTTCGCAAGCGTAGAGAAGGGAGGGAATGACTGTGGCCGAGAAGACCTGAAGCTTAGTGCGGAGCGACAGACCAGGTAGCTTCCACACAGCGTTACGCAACCGATGAAAATATATTACCGCTCGACTGATTCGGAGTGAGACCTCTGCTGTTAAACTGGAGCCGGTCATAAGCACACAGCCCAGGTATGGGAAACTCTCCACTCGCTCCACAACTACCCCATCACCGATTGGGAGTTGTGGGGGTGGAGTGTCCGATGGTACAAAATACCCAGGCAGGTGCTTAGTTTTGGTGGGCCTGATGGTAAGGCCCCACCTCTTAGTGGCACGCTCCAGTCTCAGCAGCAGCGTCTCCAACACCTCCTCTGAATGAGCAGCTATTACCAAATCATCAGCATACATAACGTGGTTGAGCAATAGGGAGCCATCCCTTGACCGCACCCAGGCATTGATCAGCCTCCCATTATATCTGTACCATATGGAGATTCCCCCGGTACAACTATTGAAGGCTTCACGAACTACGTGGTCAAAATAGATGTTGAATAATGTGGGAGCCAGAGGACATCCCTGTCGCACCCCAAGGTGTACAGGGAATGGCTCTGACTCACGGCCACGTAGTTTTACCCGGGCCCGCTCACCATCATGAAGGTCCTTAATGATCGTGAGCAGAGGGTCAGGTACTCCAAAAGCACGAAGAACAACCCAGAGCCCAGGCCTACTGATGGTATCATAGGCCTTGACCAGGTCAATAAAGCAGAGATGTCGGTCTTGTTGTAATTCCCTACACCTTTGCTGTAGCAAACGGACAGAAAATATGGCATCCGTGCAGGACCGCCCTTTCCTGAAACCACATTGAGGCTCCGCAAGCCTCTCCTCAGCGTGCCTAGCAAGGCGATGTTGAATAATCCTTGCCAGGACCTTTCCCGGCACACTGAGGAGTGAGATGCCCCTGTAGTTGTTACAGTCTGTGCGGTCCCCCTTCTTAAAAAGGGGGACCACCAGGGCATCCTTCCAAATCCTGCGGAACCCGTCCAGTGGTCCAGACTGTTGTTATGATGTCATATAAGGCAGTCTGTGCACAAACGCCATCCTCCCTCAGCATTTCGCTTGGGAGATCATCTCTGCCCGCTGCCTTTCCTTATCTCAGACTCTGGATCGCCTTCAGTACTTCCTCAACTATAGCGACACTGGCTGCACACACAAACTACTCGTGATAAACTCCCCGTGCGACTCGTATTCGTCATTTCTCCTGCACGGTATCCAAGTCGCAGTCTGCACATTGATTGACTTTGCAACCTGTGGGTGGCGGTTCCAGGGTGCTGTGAAGAGGGACATCTCGTCAGAAATCCGGGTGACAGCAGATTGCTCACGGCAGCCTGCGCGTCCCTTAAGTAATCATTGGAGGGGGGGGGGGGGGACGTCGCTTGTTGCTGAGGTTCACGGTTTGGGTCCGGCAGGCCTCCCTGGTTAATGCTACGGTGTGTTAACCCCATGACACTACGCACCATCTTTACAGTGGACGTTAAAGATCCCGTGACGTCATTCGCAATGAGTAGGTCATTGTGTCGCTGTGCGTCATGGTCCACATTTGCTAAATTCGAAACGTTACCAGCGAACTACGCGGGGATTACACAGAGCAGCACTTATCGCTTCCTACTGGCAGAATGCTCACTTGCAGGCCGTTCAGTCATCTTGTGCCGCACATGGGCAGCTGCCACTGACAGGGGGGGCGCTTTGAATGTTTGAGGCAGAGATACATGAATAGAAAAAAAACACATTTACAATTTAAAATAGCTTAATGGAGTATTTTTTTCTGCTTTGATTATTTTCAATTACATTTCTTATGTATAAAGATGTATTTAGTCAATGAGGGCCCTCTGATTATTGTTTTACATTGAGCCGTCTCGACATTTCTAATAGCGGGCCACTTAAGCCATTTCACATCGAGGTCAAGGGGTCTGCATGGCCACATTAACATGCAGGGTTTTCGCAGCCAATATTGTGCTCCGATTCATAATCGATTTGTTTGGGTTGTAAGCCTCGTAGTGATCGTGGTGTTTATCTTTACTTCCTGGATCTTGTCCTGAAGATGATTGGCGCAGTCGCAAAGTGAAAGTGCCCAATTATGTTGTGAGAATTGCTCAACTGAAACATGAAACGCTCGTGCACGCGATTTTTTTATTTGTTTGGCCGTGTAAGGTGGTGGAGGGTCCCGCGACAAACCTGTCGGGATCATTCGGTGGCCTGACCCACATCTCAGTCGTGAAGCACAGCTGATACCCGTGCCACTATTTTCCCCGTTGACAGTGAACGCGACTCAGGAGGGATAATGACCGACAGTATCCCTCTCCCGCCATGCGTGACGTTGCACTGCTGCAGGAGGAACAGCAGACATCGTTTTTGTGGTGGTAGTGGAGGGGGAGTGGTGATGGGTCAGGGGAATGAGGGTTGGCTCAATTAATTGTGTGAAGAGCTCACGACTGGGCAGATCTTTGAAAGAGTCTAGAGCAGGGGTCGGCAACCTTTCAAAGAAGTTACTTTTTACACGCTTTCATTTAACTCACTCTGTATGTTATTGTTGTATCCTCTGCCATTACTAGTACATTCCATAAAAGCGTGTTTAAAAAAACTTTTTTTAAATATTACTTATTTTGTCTTTGACTAAAATAGTCCGCATCACACGCTGAGCTACTTGTACAAATTCACATAGTAGGTATATACAGTAGATGCCAAACTCTGACTTAAACAAAATATGATGGAATAAAGTAATTCTTTAACAATAGTTTCAAATCAAGATTTAACAATAGTTTGTACATTTTGTTGTCACCAAGACATTCCATAGTGACCCATTCCCTGCCATATTTAATTATTTATCTTTACATAAAATTGTTTTAAGATGTATTATTCTTTTTCTTCCAAAAACGACTGCCCTAATGGGGGGGGGGGGGGGGCAGCCAAATGCGGCTCCGGAGCCGCAGGTTGCCGACCCATGGTCGAGACAGCAGTCGACAGTCCCATGCGTCACTGATTATAATCACTGATTATAATCAGTGACTTTCTCCGGCAGAAGCTACGTTGGCTGGGTCTTGTCGAGTCGAGAGCACTTGGTGGTGCATCTGCCAATCATCTCAGTGAACCAATGGCATATGGGCCTGTCCCGTGACCTGTCAGCAGGGAGCCTTCCACGCTTGAACTGTGGCCTTAAGGTGCACCTAGCCTGGCACAAGCTGCATGGGGACGTTACCACCTCGTAGGCAGCTGTTGGTGCTAGAGGAGTGAAAGTGTGGAGCTGGAGAGCAGCGGTCAGCGCGCTGTGCACCGAACCGGGGCGATCCGAGTTCGACGATTATCAGAACCAGTTCTCGGCCATCCCTAGGTCGACTCAGCCTCAACCCACCAGTACCTGCGTTGTGTCAACCATGCCACGAGGGAGACCCAGGCAGCCAGGCGTGGTGCTGTCCACCCACCCCCTTGTGTGCTGTGCCGGCCTTCATCGGCTTTATTTTGGTGATTTCGAAAACGTTTTTTGGTTTGGCCATGTTTGTTTGTTGTAGTACGGAGTTAAATTGATGGCTTTAATCTAAGTTGTCTTGTGGTTGTTGTTGTTTGACTTGCATCCCACTGGGATTTTTGCACACAGCGTTGGTGTACGGTACTTTTTCTGGAAGTTTTAGCTGTTTTTTCCTGGATTTTTCTGTTTGCGCAGTCACACAGTCACTTTAAGATGTTTTCTTGTTCATGTTTTTGTTTTTTGTTTGTTGCAGTTGCACCCGATTCAAGAGCCGAATGGCTCACAGGGCTATACCAAATAAATGAAACTGAAATAAATCGATGTTACTCGCTAATAGCACCTTCCCCAACAGTCTGTTGTCACAGGCTATCCGGGGAATTTTTGTCTTTGGAGAGGCGTTGTGAAAGTGTGGCGTGTGGGCGGGATGGAGGGTGCTGGAAGAGGGGCGTGGAGCTGGAGTCGGAGGGGAGTGTGACGGGCTAGCGGAGGGGAGTGCGGGGCTGGAGGAGGAGTGGTGGTGGTAGAGCAGGGGCGGGGTGGAGGGGTGAAAGGGGCGGGGTATGATGCTGGTGCTGGGGGCGGGGTGTTGTTGTAGTGGCGGTGCTAGAGTTAGAGGCGTGGCTTGGTGGTGATAGAGTAGGGGCGTGGTGTTGTGGTAGAGTAGGGGCGTGGTGTGGTGGTAGTGGTGGTGCTAGAGTTAGGGGCGTGGTGTAGTGGTGGCGGTAGAGTAGGGGCGGGGTGTTGTAGTGGTGGTAGAGTAGGGGCGGGGTGTTGTAGTGGTGGTGGTGCTAGAGTTAGGGGCGTGGTGTAGTGGTGGTGGTAGAGTAGGGGCGTGGTGTGGTGGTAGTGGCGGTAGAGTAGGGGCGGGGTGTTGCTAGAGTTAGGGGCGTGGTGTAGTGGTGGTGGTAGAGTAGGGGCGTGGTGTTGTAGTGGTGGTGCTAGAGTTAGGGGCGTGGTGTAGTGGTGGTGGTAGAGTAGGGGCGTGGTGTTGTAGTGGTGGTGGTGGTGCTAGAGTTAGGGGCGTGGTGTAGTGGTGGTGGTAGAGTAGGGGCGTGGTGTTGTAGTGGTGGTGGTGGTGCTAGAGTTAGGGGCGTGTGGGTGCCCGCGCGTCGCACGGGGCTCGGGTTTTTTTCGCCGCTGCTGCTTTGGTGATGATGATGGAGGCCGCCGCTCCGCGCCGCGCCTGGGCCTCGCTGCTCACCGCAAGCCTCCCCCTGCTCCTCACCCTCCTCCTGTTCGTGCAGCGCGGGGACACGGGGACACAGAGGCTGTGGACAGGTGACGGGGGTGGGGGAGAGACGCGGAGGCGTGAGGGGAGACACGGCGACACGGGTCGCTTGGATCTGGCTTCTAGGGTCGGACGGAGCCTGGGCAGAGTCGTTACGTGTGAGTGGTGAGGGTGAGCGAGTTGTGTGTACAGTGAGTGGTGGGTGAGTGGTGAGGGTGAGCGAGTTGTGTGTGTGTACAGTGAGTAGTGGGTGAGTGGTGAGCGAGTTGTGTGTACAGTGAGTGGTGGGTGAGTGGTGAGGGTGAGCGAGTTGTGTGTGTGTACAGTGAGTAGTGGGTGAGTGGTGAGGGTGAGCGAGTTGTGTGTGTGTACAGTGAGTAGTGGGTGAGTGGTGAGGGTGAGCGAGTTGTGTGTACAGTGAGTAGTGGGTGAGTGGTGAGGGTGAGCGAGTTGTGTGTGTGTACAGTGAGTAGTGGGTGAGTGGTGAGGGTGAGCGAGTTGCGTGTGTGTACAGTGAGTAGTGGGTGAGTGATGAGGGTGAGCGAGGTGTGTGTGTACAGTGAGTAGTGGGTGAGTGATGAGGGTGAGCGAGTTGTGTGTGTACAGTGAGTAGTGGGTGAGTGGTGAGGGTGTGCGATGTGTGTGTGTACAGTGAGTAGTGGGTGAGTGGTGAGGGTGAGCGAGTTGTGTGTGTGTACAGTGAGTAGTGGGTGAGTGGTGAGGGTGAGCGAGTTGTGTGTGTGTACAGTGAGTAGTGGGTGAGTGGTGAGGGTAAGCGAGTTGTGTGTGTACAGTGAGTAGTGGGTGAGTGATGAGGGTGAGCGAGTTGTGTGTGTACAGTGAGTAGTGGGTGAGTGGTGAGGGTGAGCGAGGTGTGTGTGTACAGTGAATAGTGGTGAGGGTGAGCGAGTTGTGTGTGTGTACAGTGAGTAGTGGGTGAGTGGTGAGGGTGAGCGAGTTGCGTGTGTGTACAGTGAGTAGTGGGTGAGTGATGAGGGTGAGCGAGGTGTGTGTGTACAGTGAGTAGTGGGTGAGTGATGAGGGTGAGCGAGTTGTGTGTGTACAGTGAGTAGTGGGTGAGTGGTTAGGGTGTGCGAGGTGTGTGTGTACAGTGAGTAGTGGGTGAGTGGTGAGGGTGAGCGAGTTGTGTGTGTGTACAGTGAGTAGTGGGTGAGTGGTGAGGGTGAGCGAGTTGTGTGTGTGTACAGTGAGTAGTGGGTGAGTGGTGAGGGTAAGCGAGTTGTGCGTGTACAGTGAGTAGTGGGTGAGTGATGAGGGTGAGCGAGTTGTGTGTGTACAGTGAGTAGTGGGTGAGTGGTGAGGGTGAGCGAGGTGTGTGTGTACAGTGAGTAGTGGTGGGGGTGAGCGAGTTGTGTGTGTACAGTGAGTAGTGGGTGAGTGGTGAGGGTGAGCGAGTTGTGTGTGTACAGTGAGTAGTGGGTGAGTGGTGAGGGTGAGCGAGTTGTGTGTGTGTGTACAGTGAGTAGTGGGTGAGTGGTGAGGGTGAGCGAGTTGTGTGTACAGTGAGTAGTGGGTGAGTGGTAAGGGTGAGCGAGTTGTGTGTGTAGAGTGAGTAGTGGGTGAGTGGTGAGGGTGAGCGAGTTGTGTGTGTGTACAGTGAGTAGTGGGTGAGTGGTGAGGGTGAGCGAGTTGTGTGTGTGTACAGTGAGTAGTGGGTGAGTGGTGAGGGTGAGCGAGTTGTGTGTCCAGTGAGTAGTGGGTGAGTGGAGGGTGAGCGAGTTGTGTGTGTACAGTGAGTAATGGGTGAGTGGTGAGGGTGAGCGAGTTGTGTGTGTGTGTACAGTGAGTAGTGGGTGAGTGGTGAGGGTGAGCGAGTTGTGTGTGTGTACAGTGAGTGAGTGGTGAGGGTGAGCGAGTTGTGTGTACAGTGAGTAGTGGGTGAGTGGTGAGGGTGAGCGAGGTGTGTGTGTACAGTGAGTAGTGGGTGAGTGGTGAGGGTGAGCGAGTTGTGTGTGTGGACAGTGAGTGGTGGGTGAGTGGTGAGGGTGAGCGAGGTGTGTGTGTGTACAGTGAGTAGTGGGTGAGTGGTGAGGGTGAGCGAGTTGTGTGTGTGGACAGTGAGTGGTGGGTGAGTGCTGAGGGTGAGCGAGTTGTGTGTACAGTGAGTAGTGGGTGAGTGGTGAGGGTGAGCGAGTTGTGTGTGTGGACAGTGAGTGGTGGGTGAGTGGTGAGGGTGAGCGAGGTGTGTGTGTGTGTGTACAGTGAGTAGTGGGTGAATGGTGAGGGTGAGCGAATTGTGTGTGTACAGTGAGTAGTGGGTGAGTGGTGAGGGTGAGCGAGTTGTGTGTGGACAGTGAGTAGTGTAATTAGGGAGTAGCGGGTGAGTGGTGAGTGATGTGAGTGGTGAGTAATGTGAGTGGTGCTGCGACTCGCTAACAGCACTTGCCCCCTCCAGTCTGTTAAGGCTACACGGGGGACCTTTGTCTTTGTGTGTGAGTGAGATTGTGAGGGTGTTGGTGTAAGCCAAGTTGGACGGTGAGATGGCGAGTGAAAGGGAGATAGTGAGAGTGGTTATGGAGAGTGTGAGGAGAGCGATTGGTGAGTTGAGTGAGATGTCAGAGTGTGAGAATGAGTCGAGAGTGTGAACAAAGTGTGAGTGGATGTGTGAGAGTGGAGAAGAGGCGTGGATGGGTCGGCCTCTCCCCGGGCAGGCAGCGCTCTCTCCGTGCTGTGCGTGTGACGTGGCAAGTGCTGGGTGCAGGGCACGGCATCCCCACGGTTACTGCTGCTGCTGCTGTTGCACCTATCCATCCGTTCATCCGAGTCTATTGACATCGATGCCAGCCGAGCAGAGATTACTAGTTTAAAACCCAAGCCCACCTTTCTTGCTTGAATAAAAAAATATATCACGGATATTATTGCCTCCTTACCTGCCGTTCTATCGCCACTTTCATACCGTTTCTTTGAACTTCACTCATTGATTCCTCCGCCCCCATTGAAGACTGTCTTCAGGACACTGTTTCGTCTCCTCCATTGTGTTGACCACACTGCAGGTCACAGCAACTCACCCACTCACCACACTGCAGGTCACAGCAACTCACCCATTCACCACACTGCAGGTCACAGCAACTCACCCACTCACCACACTGCAGCTCACAGCAACTCACTCACCACACTGCAGGTCACAGCAACTCACCCACTCACCACACTGCAGGTCACAGCAACTCACCCACTCACCACACTGCAGGTCACAGCAACTCACCCACTCACCACACTGCAGCTCACAGCAACTCACTCACCACACTGCAGGTCACAGCAACTCACTCACCACACTGCAGGTCACAGCAACTCACTCACCACACTGCAGGTCACAACAACTCACCCACTCACCACACTGCAGGTTACAGCAACTCGCCCACTCACCACACTGCAGGTCACAGCAACTCACTGAACACACTGCAGGTCGCAATAATTCACCCACTCACCACACTGTAGGTCACAACAACTCAGCAACTCACCACACTGAAGATCACCTCATTTATCTAAATCTTCCCACACTGTTCCACTCTGACATGTTCTTCCATCATCGTCTCTTTCCCCAAGCGTTGTATAACATTGCTCAATTTCATAAACGTGTTAACACTTGTCCAGCAGAACGTTGATAGTGCTGTTTGTTGCTGACTGCTTGAATGTTGGTGCCTTTTAGCCTGTGCTCAACAACTGTTAAAATAAATATTTCCTAACGACGGCCCTACATACTGTAATAAGCCTACCCATAAACCCCCACTTGCTAGCCCCAACTGGTAACCTCTAATTCTAACCACATAGCCGCACCCGTTTAGCCCAGAGATTTGATAGCAGCAGGAAGGAATGTGTGCAGCATTCCCGCTGTGGCCTGAATGACACGACCTGCCAGCTAGGATGTGCCTGCAGGGCCCGTGGCAACGCGCAGGTCCCAACACACCCGGTCTGTGAGCTCTACCTGGTTCCCCCAGTCGTGCCTGCCACTCGGCGGCTCTCCTGGAATCGCGTGCCGTTAATCATTCGAAAGTAATTTTGCACACACATGAGATACTGAGGCATTGGTGCTCATCGCCAGTTGACAGTCGTGCAGAGCCGGCAGTGGATTTTTGCATTGCTATGACAGGGGCGAGACTATCTATAGGACTTGCCCACAAAGCGTGCCTATTTTCGTGACCCTGTAGGGATGATGGGCTGAGTCAACCCCCAAACCAGGATTTGAACTCACAACCTGGTGGGTCAGTAACTCCACCACTGGGCCAACAGGTCGGATTATAGTACAACTTGCCCACAATCTGTTTGCGTGTTTAATTCCAAGCAAAGAGCTGTGTTGAGTTGTAGAGGCTCTTGTTGTTGCCACTTTGGTTTTACATATTTCATAAAGATAATTAGTAACAATGTTAACACTTAGGGGACACATTTATCACTGTAATTTCATGATGCTGCAATAATATATGTTTAAAGTAGGAATGAGGGAAATCCATCTAAGCCAAGTCGAATTCAGCTTCCGTTCAGTTTCCAAATTCGATATTGAATCTGACCCAAGTATAAAGCACCAAAAGAAAACAAGTGTGTCGTCCTTTATCTATGTGCTAAGAATACCGCCCTAGAATTGGCTCAAAGGTAGTGTTCCATGTATGTTCACGGATAGCAATGTAACCCAGGATGCTGAAATCCTAATGTTGCATGAACCACTCTCACACCAGGGTAACTTTTTATTGCTCGCACCGTAGAAACAATTTTTAACTCAATTTATAATCTATCCACTGCTGGAAAAAGACCTCCCTAAGCTGTCTAAATCAAAGTATCTAGACAACCCCTTTGAGCAGCTGCACACGAGCTGATCTTATCGCTCCTTCATGGCGTCTCCCCCCCCCCCCTTTAGCTGCTACTATCCTGGCCAAGGCCACTGAATTTTCATAACATTCAATGTGGCTCATCTGATTTGCATATACAGCAGAATGCTAATTATTTTGCAGTGATAAGGGGACACCATGGCATGGATCCCATAATCTGTGGCACACTGTGTTTAGAGTATTCGGCTGCTATACATTTCCACATGATAAGCTACTTAGTTGAGCTATCATTTGTGGCCCGGGCGCTTCTGAAAAATAACTATAGAGCTCAGTGGGCCTTACCTGGTAAAATTAAAATAGTACAGCAGACTCTTGATTAACCGCGCTACTGGTGGGTCGGTCCGAGACATGTCGTTTCGTTTCCCCAATGTAACTGCTGCTGCAGATACAGCTTAGTTTGTAGATGCCGGGATATTGCATGTCATGAATCTTGTCCTTCACAGATGGGATCAGATCACAAATTTTACGTACTTATGTTTTATGTTTTCTCTTGTCAGTGTCCGTTGTTTGCGATCCAAGAGAAACTCGGCAGAGTTGCTTTTGATATTTAAGTGCAGTTTTCCGAAAGCACTGCAACCTGCTCTCCACCTGGGGTGAATTCCCGAGTCCTCTCTTCGCACAGGGTTTTGATCCACAGCCCATATATATCCCATAGGGATGACACAATTTGGCCCAGCGGTGCTGCCACGTGGCACCCACGTGTGCGCCGCTCCGCCAGCAGGTACACGCCCGTGCAAAACGTGGCCTCTGATTTAGTGTACAGATGCAGAGGTCGGCAAAAGCCGAATCTGAATTTAAATCTGGATGCCAATTCATCACATTCCTCGCTTAAAATGTGGTTTATCGTCACGTTCCGACAGTCGATATATAGCCACACCTATACTAAAGCGTAATGTAAACCCACAAACCTGACACTTTTCTTGAATGTTCCCTCTCTTCCTCTATATATAGTGCCAAAGTACTGTTGAGGTTTCTGCTGTTAATATATTGCTTAGTTTGCCCATTGTAGTACACTGATGAGGTACAAAAAAATCTAAGGGCATAAGTGCTGTCTCAAGTCTCATTAGTATCTGTTTAACCAGAATTTGTAAAAAGTTTTTTTTACACTGTCTTGACCCAAATATTTCAGCAATGCCTGCATGAAGATCTCACTCAAGGCATCCAGCCCAAAATCTGAGGGCATTCTTTGTTCTTTAAAAGCAATCCTTGATTCACAGACGCAATATAAGAGTGTGGACAGAGTGGTCAACCAAACCGAGTGCTTACGTGACAGATTACACGTGCACTCACATATGGAAACAAAAAAAGTTGGCCTAATGAGATGAAGCACGCCAGGCTTCTTCCCCCCCCCCCCCCCCCAGGTCGTGGCATGCATTACCGTTAACGTAGATGCGGTCAGGGTGGCCCACACGAATGGCCGCACGGTTTTGAGTTCCTGACACGGCAACGGCCTCCGTGACGGAGGCTGCGGAGTAAAGAGCTTCACGGAGCTCGTTTTTACCAGGGGCTTAAACGGCACAACGCGCGGCCGACTTACGATGGAGCGTGCACAGCTCACCGGCCCTGGCCACGTGGCTCGTATGTGTGTCCAGTAGTGTATGTTGAACTTCTTGTTGCGCCAAACGTAGCCGACCCCGCTAATCGGATAGTGATAGAACACAAGCGCTCGTCAGGCACAAACCTGCTGAGCGCTCTAAGATCGGATGAGATCGGGTGCTTTCCGTGTGATTTGATCTTTGGCATAAGTCGTTAAAAACAAAGATGGTGCCAAAAGGGGCAGCCCTGCATTTGCTTGCTCGTGCTAGTGCTTGTGGAAGACTTCACTAGAGGTAGCCCAAATAAGTTATTGGTTAGTTTAACACGTAGGCTGTCACGACCAATATCATCCATATATAAATGTGTCGTTAAAACCCGCCACAACACCTGACAGCCAACTAGTAAGGGTTGTCACGTAAACAGGACATGTCAATTCGTCACTAGTTCAGCACACCGGTGTGTTGGAGAGCCAAGCCACAACAAGTACAACAAGTACATGTACTGAGATTGTAAATGTTGTGGCTTGGCTCACCAACACACCGGTGTGCTGTACTAGTGACGAATCGACATGTTCTGTTTACGTGACAACCCTTACTAGCTGGCTGTGTCGGGTGGTAGCGGGTTTTAACAACACATTTATATATTTATGCCATCTCACCCAAAAAAACCTTCTATTATGGAAGTTATTGGTTTATTCCAGAGGTTGGCAAACCACAGCTCCAGAACTGCAATACATCTCTTTAAGGACTATATTTATTAAGGACCACCCTCTCGTATTCGCATTACATTGCGGCTCTTGAAATAGTTTTTTTTACGGAATAAAAAAAATGTCCCTTCTTGTTATTTTGTTTGACCGCCGGTCGATTCCATGCTGACCAGACGTGTTGGAAGAGGTGGTGGCAGTACCCACACTTTACCCCACCACATGCCACCTGCCAATCAGCTAATTGTGGTGTACCCATTTATACTGCTGGTGGACATAGCATCTGGCAATTATTGTTTCATATATTTAAATGATTATTTATAAAAACAAGATGAGAACAAATTTAAAGTAGCACAATTGGTTTTTAAAACTGTCAATGGACCTCATTGATTTTTCCTTTGCTTGTGTTTTTTTTCCCACCAGATAATCTCGTGGTTGTAACTGTGGCCACAAAAGCTACTGATGGATTTAACAGATTTATGCTAAATGCAAACTACTTCAACTACACCGTCAAGGTATGCGTGTCGCTTGCTCTGACGAGAGCGCACTAGGTAATTTTGTAAAAAAGCAAGGAAAATATTTTGCGTGATGGGTGATGCGAGGAAGTATGAGCCTTCCCAACTGGTCCAGACATTAGTTTTTTTTGCGTTTATCAGTAACCGAATGAAAAAAAAAGAGAAAATATCCGGTGACCGGTCTGTCCCGCGTAAAGCAATGTCTAGAATAACAAACAATGCTGAGAAACTTAAGGGAGCTGCCGTGGGGTAACGATTAGTAAAATGGGCTTGCAACCCAGCAAACAAGAACTGAGTTAAAGGGAGACAGAGAAAACACGAGCGAAAGACCTACACGGAGCCACACGCAGCTACAGAATACGTGTCCACCCGCTGTGCATACATGCACTGAAAGCCACGTGCTGGAGGTTGTACATTCTTGACAAAGTTTCGAACGTTGAGTACAATCCGGATCATTTTGGACTTTGTGTGGTGACGCATGTATATATATATGCGGCGCGGTTAGCGCGCTACACTAGAAACCCGGCAACCTGAGTTCGATTCCCGCGCATGGACAACACCAGTGACGATTATTTGAACCAGTCCTGGGTCTCCCGTAGGTCAACTCCACCTCAAATTAGTATCTGGTGCGGTGTGTAAGCATCGCTACTGGGGAGACAAAGGCGGTCGGACGTGGTGTTGGCCACCCATCCCCTCATGTGCTGTGTCAGCCTTCATAGGTGCTTGCTAACAGCACTTGCCCCAACAGTCTGTTAAGACTATCCGGGGGATCTTTGTCTTTATTTTTTGACACATATATACATATACATACAAACGTCGTCACTCAGTCCAAAATCATCCGGATTTTACTCGACGTCAAAAAACGCTTAATGGACGGGCTTAAACATTTTAAAGTTCAAACACTTAAACTCAAAACGATCAATGCCAAGAACAGGGCGGTGGGGGGGCGATCCTCCTTGGACGCGAACGGAAGCCTCGGTTGCGGAGAACGTTCCGTTCCGTTTCCCCAACGGACGCCTCTGGAGTGCGAGCTTGGGCTTGGCTTGGCTGTGTGCGTGGGGGGAGGGCAGGTGCTGGGGCTGGGCGAGGATTGGACCGGTGGGGACGTGGCGCGCTCCGTGGGGGGCGGGCAGAAGGTGCGGCTGCTGCGTCGCTACATGGAGAGCCTGGAAGAGCGGCTCGACTCGCTGCTGCTTATGTTCGTGGACAGGTAACGGGTTTTGTAGCGCTTGGCATCACTGGCCACAGCAGCCACCATCAACATCATTGCGTCGCTGGTGGTTTCTCGCCATCGCCTACTTTGCGATGCTTACGCCAGATGCAATTTGGATAAAAAAAATGTGTGCCTGAGCTCGCTCGCGTTTTATCGCGGCATGTGTGTATGCGCCCAGGTATTCTTGTATGCGTTTTTTTACAGGCAACAAAATAGATAAGCAGACAAGACACCTCCTTCTCATTAATATTCCTTTACGTAAAAAAATGAAAATATATTTAGTTTACACGGCCCGTCAGTCACACGGCGAGTGAAGTTTATCAGCAGGATTAGTTTCATGCAAACAAATCTCTCGACCAATTTTTACATTCACTGTCTCGGCAACATAATCCGGATAGCCGAAAAGTAAATTTCACGATCACGGATGCGTGCAGGGTTTCTGATGTGTCGGCTGTCATGATATCCAAGTGCCGTGATGATGCACCGTCCTGTCGGACTACAAAGCGTTGTGGGAGGGTTGTTGCCGGTTTTCATTGAGAGTCAGGGCGACTGAGCCCAAAGCTCCCTGAGCCCTTCATCTGAGCAGAGCTGAAGGCATCTTCTCATCCCAAACTTTCACCAAATGTTTTAATGCAGACTGGGAGGAATCAAAGCGATGAGTTATAAAGAGGTGGACGACAGCAATGGTGCAGGTGCTTTTCATACCTGGGGAGTAAACAATCGGAAGCAATGCAGTCTACCTATATGCCTGAAGAAAAATGGCTTGAGACTATAAATAAAAAATAAAAATGTAATTGGTATTGGCCAAACATCCCAATGAAGAAAAATTACCTGCATATTATTTATTTGAGATCGCACACAAAGAAAAAGACCCCCGTATAGTCTTAACAGATTGTTGGGGCAAGTGCTGTTAGCGAATATCTATGAAGACCGGAACGGTACATGAGGGGGTTGAAGGCTAACACCACGCCCGACCGCCTTTGTCTCCCCAGTAGCGATGCTTACACACTGCACCAGGTGCTTATTTGAGGCTGAGTCGACCTAGGGGAAGCCCAGGACCGATGTAAATATTTGTCACCGGTGTTGGCCGTGCTTGGGAATCGGACTCGGGTCACCGGGGTTCGTAGTGCAGTGCGCTAACCGCTACGCCACTGCTCACCCATGTAGCAGCAGCAGCATCCACCCCTACTGCGAACACTTGGCTAGACCTTCCTGAAAACGAATCTTGACACTCAGTGAGGGTTTTTCGGTAAGGTGAGAGACTCGGCGAGCCTTTCTGTTGTAAACAAGTGTAATTTAATCATGAATAAAAAAAATAAACATTACTCTATGAGGTAGGGTCAGGAATTAGAACTTTAACAATAAAAATAGAACCAATTTGAAATAAATAGAAATGTGGTTGAGGGTTGCCACTGCATTCCAGTATCTCGTGTGTACGCAGATTGCTGCATCCTACAGTCGTGTTGGCTCCCAGGAGATGCGTGTCATGCACCTTGTGTGTTACTGCCTTGCCCCCAGCTACGACGTCATTTTTGCAAGTGGGCCAGAGGAGCTACTCAGGAAGTTCTATCTGTCGGGGAGCCGCGTGGTGTTCGGGGCCGAGGCCTTCCTGTGGCCCGATGAGACCCTTGCTTCGGCCTACCCGGCAGTGAGGGACGGCAAGCCCTACCTCAACTCCGGAGGTATCCGAGCCAGCCGCATCACTATCACTCACCCAAAAAACACACCATCTTACCTTCACACACCATACATACACAATCTCACCATTATTCACCATCACTCACCATCTCATCACCCTACATACACAATCTCACTATTATTCACCCACGTGCACCATCACTCGCCCTCAAACACCACCAATCAAGCTCACACACTAAATTCTTATTAGCCTTTATGTCTGAAAGTGTTCTATGGATTGAATGCGAGCGATGACAGTGTCTGGTTATACTCATACATTTAATAATAATAAAAATTAAGTTTATAGTCCTATAGGAAGAGTGGCACCACAGTGATTCGAATGCCTTGCCAACACTTTGGATATCAAGCTCCGTGCTCTGTATATTCAGATCAGTGGTGCTGCTCACCGCAGATTCTCTTCTGACCTGGCTGGGGTCACTCAGTGTCTCTAGACGTCTTGATGATGGCACAGTTCACAGACAGCAGCTGACAGCAGATGTTTTCCCCCGTCTCGCCCACGAAGGGTTTATTGGCTTTGCTAAGGAGATCCACACGATGGTTAACGAGTGGAAAGGAGGTGACGACGAGGACGACCAGCTCTTCTATACCAATTTATTCCTCAAAAAAAGGGTAAGCTTCACACCTTCCTAATGCCAACATTGTATGATGAATGTTAGAAATACATGCTATGAAGATGCGGGTGCTTACATGGGCCGGGTTTGTCTGCAGCAAATAGTTGAATAAAGTTGCGTGCTGCCCTGGTCTAGTTTCTGAAAAGTGTGGCTGAGCGACGCATGTCATCTAGTCATCGTAATCGAGCGATTAGATAGTGCGCAGACGTCCCGAGTACGCTCATGTCGCCAGTGGACCCCAGTGAACTACTGTCTGGGGGAAACGCATTCAGTCACGCACGGCTGCTTCGGTCTGTTCTGATAATGTGTTGACTGTTGCATCTCGTCTCCAAAAATATTTCAGCTTTGAGCGTCAGGTGTGGTGCAGCGATAACACTTGTACCCTCAGCAATGAGGGCCTGCGTGTTGATTCCCGACTGGGACCCTTTTCTGCATGGGGTTTGTGTGTTCTCCCTGCTGTTCTGCATGGGGTTTTTTTGTCTGGGTTCTCCGGGTTTCATCCCACAACTTCAAATGCATACGGTAGTCTCTTGGTTTATGATGTCATCGACTGAGGATATTTAAATTAACGATCTGCCTCCCATAGGGTCCCATTGTTTCTATTAACGCTACATTTTCAACTAACGATATGTTTTCAATATCACGCGGCCACCAATTTCGGCCGATCGGAGTGCTCCTAAATGGACTCGGCAAACCTCAACCAATCAGTGATGCCCTTCTATGAGCGTTTTGAGAGCAACTGGCTGCTAGCTGTTCAATGTTTGATGTTCGTTGCTTTTGGAATCAGTTCTCTGTTTCCAGTGTTTTATTTTAAGTTAAATAAGATCAATAACAGTGGCCCCCAAAATAAATGTGAAGAAAGACAAGAAAGTGAGGAAAACAATTATTGTGCAAATTAAGCAGAAAATGAAGGAAATGTTTATTTATTTATTTTATGCACCTTTTTAGTCCAAATGTTTTCATTATTTATCCATGTTTCTATTAATATTAATGCTTTAATATGTTCTTATAACGTTTATTTATTAAAATTGCCTGTTTAAATATGAGAAACTATGTTTTATGGTGAAAATGGTCAACTTCCGTCATCTTGGAACAAATTAAGCCTTTAATGCATATTTCCTATATTCGATTAACGAGCATTACAATCAACGATGGTTTTTGTTCATCCAATTAATATTGTTAACTGAGGGACCACCCTACAGTGTAACTCTTATTGGCCACACATCTCAACACTGAAAAGTTCAATGCAAAATAACTCAATTGGGATCACGCAGCAGCTAGAACAAACTTCCCCCTCCACATTAAGCGGTCACCTTCGCTCACTAGTTTCCACTCCTCACTCAAAACTCACTTATTGTTCCTGAGCTCACGCCACGACGACCCCTTAATCTCCCCCTCATAACCACCACCACGGTTACTGTTCCCTCTTCATATTCTCATTATATGGCTATCACTCATTCCCCATTCACTCATTCCATTCATTCATAATTTACGGTCATCAATTTCACTGACTTCACGCGTCAAATATTTGCCCCATTGCATTCTCTCATCTATTTCATTCACCTCATTTCCACCATTACCTTCATAGGTTGCACCGTTATTATTTCTTCGTAAAGTGCCTTGCTTAAGGTGCTATATACATTCCTTTAAGATAAGATAATAACATCGCTGCCCAACTGCAAACACTTTGCAGGACCCTCCGGAAAATAAGGTCTTGACATAGTGCAACAATAATAATAAACACCTATTATTTTTCATACTTTGATACTGGCAAAAAAAGGGTATGCCATGATATAGCTGCTCACTCCAAGCTAGAAATGCTCTTAAGTGCATTGTCTTTTTACTGTTCGCCTTTTGGTCTGACACTGGTGAGACTAGGCCATATAGATTGCTGCCTCTGGTGTAGGCCAATCAGTTTCAAAGACAATGCATATATTATCAGAGCATGTTTGTTTGCATGTTCCCCACAAGTATTATGTAGGGAACATTCAAACAAACATGACTCTCACCGATCTTATATTAATATACAAATTTTTACCTGGCAGCCCTTTAATGGGTGGAAACCCACCGCCATTGCGGTCGCTGCCCATCACTTACATTAACAGCTGCCCCACGCATGCTGCTGACATTAGGCTATGCCCATTTTTAAACCTTTATAAACAGTTTGCCTTTAGAAGCTAACCCCCTTTTCCTGATGACGAACGCTTGTGTTGCGATCGAAACGTCGTAGTCTTTGAACCTATCTATGTGACTTTACCGAAAGACGCAAATAATATTTTGTGTGGTTAATGTAGTACTTGAGTCCTTGCAAAAAAATCTATTTGGTGTTTGAACATCTTAACATGATCTTATTGCCAGAAAGGGTGAAAATCCTGTTCTTATTTTTCAACAAAGTGGAAGTGTTTTTTTTCTATATTCAAGTGGCACCCACACGAGCAGCGGGAGCCCCAGGTAATTTCTTGCTTTACAGAAAGCAGACAAGCCTCGGCATACTGTTCTGGTGAATGTGTCGTCTTAAGCAAGGGTAATTTTACCATACTCATGTGTATGTTTTTTTTCTTCTGATTTTTCAGGGCCAGATCAACATCACGCTTGACCATCGGTGTCGGATTTTCCAAAATTTGAATGGCGCCCTCGGTAAGGGATGGTAATAGCAGTGGCCGGATTGTTAAACAGTGCTTGAAATATAAAATGTGTGAACACCGTTTCACACATTTGCTTGATGATCACCGATTTACTGCTTTAAACCCCAGTCCAGGGGGGGTTAACTGTTCTCGAACGGACAACTCGCCAATAACCTGGCTCATTGTGGAGGTCAGAAAATGTGTGCTTGCTTGCCTGAGACTGTTTGACGCTGCTGTTAAAGCAACAAAGAGCCCTTTGAATACCAGTGCTTCGCGAGGAACAGCTGTGCCTGTTATTCCAGAGACTGGTAAAGGCATGCCCATAGTTGAGTAGCATTCATGGGTGCTGCGTGTTGACATGGCATGTGTCGTATACACTGTTGGCCTGTGCGCCAGCAGTAGAGTTGCTGTTTTATACGCGTACTTGCGAGTTATCACATTCCCGTGTCCATTCCGTTCGCACATGGCTTTGTGGATAACACATCGCTCTCATTATATTGACTCCGTTGCCCTACTTTGCTTTTACGTTATTCCTTTTGTAATTTTGGTGAACAAGGTCACTCTTGCACACTAGTCTCATTGCGGTCTCTTGAGTTCGCATCTCGTTACACAAAATCTAATTGAAACCGTAACTCCCTGTACAGACAACAACAACGTCAATTTATATGGTAGTAACCAAATGTCTCGAAGCGCCGTAAGTCGGCTACGTACGTTGCCTTGCATTCCACAGCAGCGACAGCGTTCTTAATTAGTTTAGGGTTGCGCTCAGAGGCTGTTTCACTGATCACCGTGTAACAACAAAGTTTCAGAATTGTTGATTGGACAGGAAGTAATTTTATGAATGGCTTATAAAAAGGTGATATTGAATATTTGCCCTGCTGGGAAAGGGTTTTAATTTATAATTTTATGAATTACAATTGGGAACAACTAATTTAATGTGCTTATTAGTAATGTTTTAACGTTTTAATTTATATACAAAGGCAGCAGCATAATACACGCAAATTCCTTCTCAAAACTCCGTAGAATTTGTAACGGGCCAATTTTCGCACGGAGGCGTGGGAAACCACACGCAAGCGGGGGAAGCCAGCCAGAACAGCCACCAGCCACCCAACTATTGCCCAAGCTCTGTGGTCGTATACTGGGCGGTTTTTGTACAACTCCGTGAATGCAAAATCTCACGGTTTGTAATTTATGCGTTAATTTAATTTCATAATTCCACTTTCCTTTACGACAATCTCCAGGCAGTGTTGCAGCGACCGCGGGGTAGTCCCCCTAAACGTACCATGACGCTCCGCTGGGGCTCCGCTTGGGCCGCCAGGTTTGCGCCAGGCGCCGCGAGATCACCACCAGGGAGCCGTTAGGGCACCACTAGGCTACCGCCAGGGCTTCGCCAGGGCTCGGGCAGGGCTCCCCTAGGGCGCCACAGCCGTGCTTGCACAGGGCCTCACCCTCCCCCCCCCCCCCCATGCGCCTTCTTCTGCCAGACGTGGCCTCCGCTTGGGGTACTCGGTGATTGCTCTCGTCCTGTTCAGCCCAGGTCATCACATATGTCGGCAAAGATGATGCAGTTGTAGAATGCAACACAGAGCAATCGGGGTGATTGATGCTGCCGTGCTCACTGACTCACTGCTGTCACTCGCTCACCGGTGGTCAGTCGCCTCCTTATAACTCTTCTGTTGCAACTACCATGGCTACTGTTCCCATGAACTTCACTCGCTGAATCCTTTCACCCATGTTGAGGACTCGGCCTACCAGGCACTGACATCCATCTCATCTAAAACTGCGTTCAGCCCACACACTGCAGGGCACAACGCCCCATTCACCTACTCAACTAATCGCTCACTTAACCACTCACCAACTCAATCAACCGATCACTCACCCACTCGCATATTCATATACTCTCCACACCGCAGATCATAATACTTCTTTCTGCTCTTCCCTCACCTTGATCCACAGTGGAATTCCATCTTATCTATTTTCTCAAGTTCTTAAACTAATAACCTTGCTCATTGCCATAAACGGGTTACATTCTTACCTATTGCAACTAAGACACTGCTTGACCTTTTGAGCCTTTGGGCCTCTGCTCAGCAACCACCATGACCATCACTGCCACCACCTCCGCCACCACCACCGGTGCTGCCACCACCATCTGTGAAAAAGAGCCTTATAGCTCATCGGATTCCTTCAGAAAAATAAATATTCGGATTCTTCTGAACTATGTAAACGCACAGGGCGAGGGCGGAATGGCGTGGTTCCTGAGTGTATGTTCTCGCGTGTGCGCACCGATAGACGAGGTGGTGATCAAGTTCGAGAAGGAGCGGGTGCGCGTACGCAACACTGCCTACGACACCCTCCCCGTGGTGCTGCACGGCAACGGCCCCACCAAGGTGACCCACCCCCCCGCAAACCTGGAACCCCCCCCCCGCTGCCTCCCCCCCAGTGCCCCCACCCCCGACCACCTACCTCACCCCCAACGCTCTGCAGTGCTGCATCCGAACAGAGCTATGAGCGCTGCCTCAGCATTCGTGGTAGTGGTGGGTCACAGGCACTTTGGGTAGAGGGTCTAAAGGAGAGAGGCCTAATGGGGAGGGGCTTAAAGAGGAGGGGCTGGGGCCGAAAGAGGGGAGGGTGGAACCTAAAGAGAAGGGGTGGTGCCTAAATATAAGGGGGTGGGGTCTAAAGAGAAGAGGGTGGAGCCTAAGGAGAAGTGGCATGGTCTATATTGAAGGGGGTGGGGCCTACATGGAAGGGGATGGAGCCTATAGAGAAGGGGGTGGGGTGTAAATGGGACAGAGAAGTGCTTCAACCATGATCTTCCCTTTTGATTTCAGGAAATGAAAGCATAGACAAGTAAGTGCAGTAGGCAGCAAAAATGTAATCCACAGATGCGGCCATAGGCCAACGAGTTATTAATAGTCACATTCCTACAGCAAGAGTTTGTGTTTCGGAAATTATGTTGAAATGTAGCAGTCTTATGATGGTGTACATTTATTGTTTGGTTATACGAAGGCCTCCCCACTCCGTTGGTCACGGGGGATGTTTGACCGCACTTCACCACGATCATCATTGCGGGTTGGTAAAACTATATATTAAACATTTTTTTTTACCAGGTAGGGCCCCCTGAGCTATACAGCTCTTTTTCAAAAGCGACCTGCCTATCACAAATGATAGTTCAACGAAGTGGCTTATCACGTGGAAAATTATATCAGCCAAATACTCAACACATATTGAATGTGGAAGGAAAAACCGGAGGACCCGAAGAAAAATTCACATGACCACGGGGAGAGATACAAACTCCAAATATACAGGTGTCAAGGTCGGGATCGAACCCACGACCTGCATACTTGGCGAGGTAGTTAACATCTCGCCACCAAGACCGGTTCAGTCAATACTGAAATTCGCGGCTGTTATCTTTTGGAATTGAACTTTGGTCGCCGGGTTCATAGCACAGTGCGTGATCCACTGCCTATGCGACTCGTTAAGCAATCTGCTTGAGCCTTGGACATTAACGGTCAAAGCTGAAGATCATTGAGGTGCTCACAACTTTGGCACAAGTTGTTGCACCGTTCTCGTTGGGCTCCAGTTTCATCACTGGTGGTGGATGTTATGAAGCAGTCATTCCCCTATAATTGGTGATGTGGTTCATCACAAGTGAACGGATGTTATTTATATCAGCGCTTGGTTTCCTACTAGTTTGTCAGCATCTGAGTAATTTTTTCAATTATAATTTTGAATTTATAATCTAAACATTTTTCATTTGTCCCCTTCGAGAGAGAATAAGCCAAAGCTGCTGGGAACCAAAGACAAAGTGGGAAGGCAGCCAGAACTCTCGCCAACAATTGCCCAAGCTCTGTGGTTCTTTATAGGAAATATTTGTCAACTTAAATGACGATGGTGATGGCAGTGGTGGTCGAGGTGAATTTGGTGGTGATGGTTATGATGGCAATGATCGTGGTGGGGGTGATGGTGGTTGTGGTGATGTCGGTGATGATTATGGTGATGGTGGTTACAGCGGTGGTCGTCGTGGCAGTGATCGTCATGGTGGCGGTGGTGGGGGTGGTGGTGGCAGTAATGGTCGTGCGCCTGTAGTGGGTGCCGGTGGTGGTGGTGGTTAGTGCCATGTGGGTGTTTATTCAATACCACTATGCATGTGTCTGTGCGCACACATGTCTTGGGAGTGTGTGTGGGCGAGTGCTCTGTGTTCAGCACTTGCCCCAACAGTCTGTTCAGGCTATACGGGGGATCTCTTTGTCTTTGTGCTCTGGTCAGACTCTTGTGCAAGTGTAACTGAATCTGGTCAATGCTCATGTTCTGTGCAGCTGCAGCTGAACTACCTGGGTAACTACATCCCCAACAGCTGGACGTACGAGCTGGGGTGTGGAGTGTGCCACCTCAACACCATCGACCTTTCTGCTCGATCAGTATGTCCACCCCACAGATGTATACCGTGCGGCGATTGGTAATAACAAGTTTGCTACAGATTTGACCGTGGACTCCAGTGTTAAGAGTGGAACATTCGCATGAATCTCACGCAAAGTGAGCAGATGAGCCAAGGTTACTTTTTATAGGATTTCGCAGCCATATTTATGAATTGTAAACAAATTGTATTTCCACTTGTAGAAGTGTTTATCGCGAATTACTATTGTTTGAGACCTGAAGAAAATTCCTCGCAACCAAATTGAGAAATTATGACCCGGCGATGCATTGAGTACCAATTTTATGGGCAGTAAACTGATTTTCTATTTTGAGATGCTCGGTGCCCGCAAGAGAGAGCTCAGCATTGCTCAGTTTATCATTGGTTCAGGCCTCCTGCTGGCGCCTCTGAGACCACGGAGCGACGAACTTCATTGGGTTGGCTTGTGGCATTTCCTCCTAGGAGTCAGACTACCCCATGGTGATGATCGGGGCCTTCATCCATCAGCCCACTCCCTTCCTCCCAGAATTCCTTGGTCGAATTGCGAAGCTGGACTACCCAAAGGACAAAGTGTCCCTCTTCATCCACAACAAGGTGTGAGCTGGTTTGTAACCGAGTGCCTACAAGTTGCACCCATTGAGGTGTTAACAGCTTCTTGTTTGCTTGTGTTTAAATGCAATGTGCTTATGCATAACAAATTGCCATTTTTTCAACAAGTAACAGCACACCACACAACAAATGAATAACACTAAGCAGACACTTAAGTGAAGCATTGTTAGGATTAAATATTTTTACTTGACACATATCTGAGCCTAAATTTTGATTTAAAGCTTTCGTGACTGCAGGGATTCATATTCTTGGTTCTTTCGGTAAAGTCACGTAGAGGGGAAACAATAAAATAATAAAAATATAAAACAATAAAATCATCACGACGTTTCGACTGCAACACAAGCAATCATCATCAGGTGTGAAAACCACAGCAAGAAAATTTGAAAAAAGTGGTGTTTTTTTTTTACGTTAGCACCACGGAGAGCGATTTGGCAGTTTGTTCAGATGGACGAATCCATCTATGTTCGGAAAAGAGGAGGGGGGAGGCGAAAAATAATGGATGCGGTCTGAAAGCCACCGTAAGCGTGAACAATCAATTAAGACCCGAAATGGTTTATCAAATCCTTCCGATGATTGCTAAGCCAGAATCCATCTTTGCGGTTGAAATTGTCTCTGTGTTTGTATATGTGAATAGCCTCATGAACGAATCTCTCATGGTAGCCAGATGGCTTGCAAAGAACCTCTGTCGTGGAGAAGTCAATGTCATGTGAGCCTACTGAATTATAACAGTGATCTGCCACGGCCGAGGTGTTGGTCCTACCGTGTTTTAGGTCTGCTTTGTGTTCACGAATGCGGTCCGAGACATGTCGTTTGGTTTATCCAATGTAACTACTACCACAGAGGAAACTTAGCTTGTAGACGCCAGGGTACTCTATGTCCAGAATCACATATTTTACAGACGGAACCAGATCACGGATTTTATGTAATGTGTTGAATTGGACCTGGATCTTGTGTTTATTCAAGATTTTGGAGATCTTTTTTGTGATCCCTGCAATGTAGGGTAAAGTGATGGTTTTGAAAGGCTCCTCAAGAGGGTCCTTCTTCATGGTTGGAGTGATAGCTTCGTGGATTGTGTAGTCGGAGTAACCATTAGCCTTAAGAGCTTGGTGTACGTGCTTGAGTTCACTGGCTATGTGTTCCTGGTCGGATATGCTTACCAAAAATACATAAAGTAGATACACCCCTTCGTCCTATCGTCTCTACTATCAACTCCCCCACCTACAAATTGGCTCATTTTGTGTTTGAAATCCTGCGGCCTTTCACTGGAAAAACCACCTCTGCGGTACACAATTCTACTCACCTGGTATCGACAATCACGGGTATTGCCCTGTCCCCAGACGACCTGCTTTTCAGTTTTGATCTAGTTTCCTTATTCACCAAAGTTCCTGTACCTGACACCATCGCAATCATTGAAGACTTGGTTCATCAAGGACTAAACACTGAGGTACCCCCCCCCTGGTGAGACACTGCTTAACCAATACATACTTAACTTGGAATGGAACTTTCTACAAACAAACTGAGGGCACCCCAATGGGCTCCCCCTATCTCCGGTTGTAGCCAACATTTTCATGGAGAAATTTGAGACTGACGCCATCCAGACTGCCACTCTGCGCCCAACATTATGGAAGAGGTACGTGGATGACACTTTTGTCATCTGGCCACATGGCCGTCCTGCTCTAGACCAATTCCTCGACCACATCAATTCCATACACCCAGCCATCAGATTTACCATGTCGAAAAAGATGGCAAGCTACCTTTTTTGGATGTCCTAATAAAAAAGAGACCTGATGGTTCAATGAGCCACTCTGTCTACAGGAAAGCTACCCATACGGCTGCTTACCTGAAACCGGATTCCCACCACCATCCATCCCAGAAGAATTCCCTCATCAAGACTCTGCACCATAGAGCCCAATGCATATCCGACCAGGAACACATAGCCAGTGAACTAAAGCACATACACCAAGCTCTTAAGGCTAATGGTTTCTCCGACTACACAATCCGCAAAGCTATCACTCCAACCATGAAGAAGGACCCTCTTGAGGAGCCTTTCAAAACCATCACTTTACCCTACATTGCGGGGATCACAAGATCCAGGTCCGATTCAACACATTACATAAAATCCGTGATCTGGTTCCATCTGTAAAAGATGTGATTCCGCACATACAGTACCCTGGCGTCTACAAACTAAGTTGCCTCTGTGGTAGTAGTTACATTGGAGAAACCAATCGACATGCCTCGGACCGCATTCGTGATCACAAAGCAGACCTAAAACACGGTAAGACCAACACCTCGACCATGGCACATCACTGTTATAATTCAGTAGGCTCACATGACGTTGACTTCTCCAAGACAGAGGTTCTTTGCAAGCCATCTGGCTACCATGAGAGATTCGTTCATGAGGCTATCCACATATACAAACACAGAGACAATTTCAACCGAGAAGATGGATTCTGGCCTAGCACTCATTGGAAGGATTTGATAAACAATTTCGGGTCTTAATTGATTGTTCACGCTTACGGTGGCTTTCAGACCGCATCCATTATTTTCGTCTCCCCCCTCTTTTCCGAACATAGATGGACTCGTCCATCTGAATAACTGCCAAATCGCTCTCCGTGGTGCTAACGTTAAAAAAAACGGCCACTTTTTTCAAATTTTCTTGCTGTGGTTTTCACACCTGATGATGATTGCTTGTGTTGCAGTCGAAACGTCGTGATAATTTTATTGTTTTATATTTTTATTATTTTATTGTTTCCCTTCTACGTGACTTTACCGAAAGAACCAAGAATATATCTGAGCCTGTTTACATACGAGTGAAATAATCACCATGAGTCCATTTTGATGATTCCATAACTTAACTTTGCGGTGAACGGTTTGTAAAAGTATTATTTTTCGGAGCCAACTTTTTGCTACGGGGCATGTATTCTATTTCACGTTGGCTTTTGAGTGCGCACTGTGTCTGGGTCTATAACGGGGTAGATTTTTTTTACCTCTCTGAGGCCAATTGTCTGCTGATCTATTTTGTTATTTACAGTGAGGGATAAAAGTATTTGATCCCCTGCTGATTTTGTACGTTTGCCCACTGACAAAGAAATGATCAGTCTATTATTTTAATGGTAGATTTATTTGAACAGTGAGAGATAGAATAACAACAACAAAATCCAGAAAACGCATGTCAAAAATGTTATAAATTGATTTGCATTTTAATGAGGGAAATAAGTATTTGACCCCTCTGCAAAACATGACTTAGTACTTGGTGGCAAAACCCTTGTTGGCAATCACAGAGGTCAGACGTTTCTTGTAGTTGGCCACCAGGTTTGCACACATCTCAGGAGGGATTTTGTCCCACTCCTCTTTGCAGATCTTCTCCAAGTCATGAAGGTTTCGAGGCTGATGTTTGGCAACTCAAACCTTCAGCTCCCTCCACAGATTTTCTATGGGATTAAGGTCTGGAGACTGGCTAGGCCACTCCAGGACCTTAATGTGCTTCTTCTTGAGCCACTCCTTTGTTGTCTTGGCCATGTGTTTTGGGTAATTGTCATGCTGGAATACCCATCCACGACCCATTTTCAATGCCCTGGCTGAGGGAAGGAGGTTCTCACCTAAGATTTGACGGTACATGGCCCCGTCCATCGTCCCTTTGATGCGGTGAAGTTGTCCTGTCCCCTTAACAGAAAAACACCCCCAAAGCATAATGTTTCCACCTCCATGTTTGACGGTGGGGATGGTGTTCTTGGGGTCATAGGCAGCATTCCTCCTTCTCCAAACAAGGCGAGTTGAGTTAATGCCAAAGAGCTCCATTTTTTTCTCATCTGACCACAACACTTTCACCCAGTTGTCCTCTGAATCATTCAGATGTTCATTGGCAAACTTCAGACGGGGATATATATATGTGCTTTCTTGAGCAGGGGGACCTTGCAGGCGCTGCAGGATTTCAGTCCTTCACGGCGTAGTATGTTACCAATTGTTTTCTTGGTGACTATGGTCCCAGCTGCCTTGAGATCATTGACAAGATCCTCCCGTGTAGTTCTGGGCTGATTCCTCACCGTTCTCATGATCATTGCAACTCCACGAGGTGAAATCTTTCATGGAACCCCAAGCGAGGGAGATTGACAGTTCTTTTGTGTTTCTTCCATTTGCGAATAATCGCACCAACTGTTGTCACCTTCTCATCAAGCTGCTTGGCAATGGTCTTGTAGCCCATTCCAGCCTTGTGTAGGTCTACAATCTTGTCCCTGACATCCTTGGAGAGCTCTTTGGTCTTGGCCATGGTGGATTGTTTGGAATATGATTGATTGATTGCTTCTGTGGACAGGTGTCTTTTATACAGGTAACAAGCTGAGATTAGGAGCACTCCCTTTAAGATTGTGCTCCTAATCTCAGCTCGTTACCTGTATAAAAGACACCTGGGAGCCAGAAATCTTTCTGATTGAGAGGGGGTTAAATACTTATTTCCCTCATTAAAATGCAAATCAACTTATAACATTTTTGACATGCATTCTTCTGGATTTTTGTTGTTGTTATTATGTCTCTCACTGTTCAAATAAACCTACCATTAAAATTATAGACTGATCATTTCTTTGTCAGTGGGCAAACGTACAAAATCAGCAGGGGATCAAATACTTTTTGCACTCACTGTATATTCTCCACAACGATGCTGGTGATTATTTTGTACTTGCATACAACTTAACTTTATAGTGAATAGTTTTTAAAGTAAATTATATCCAAGCCAATTTTTTTCCAGGATTTTGCTCTGATTTCTACATGATGGTTTTTGCTCTGATTCGTTTTTTATCTTGCAAATGAGTCTCATCCTGGTATCTTGAGTTCTCATCACATGAACTTGAAAGTTTACAACAGGGTCGTGTTGAATAGCTGTGACATGATGTGCGATGCGTTGCGATCCTTTGACATGTGGTGCAATGCTGTGCAATACTGTGACATGCTGTGACATGCTCTGGAATGCTGTGACATGCTGTGACATGCTGTGCGATACTGTGACATGCTATGCGATACTGTGACATGTTGCAACATGCTCTGAGATGTTCTGAGAAGCTGTGCGATGCTGTGACATGCTGTAACATGCTCTGAGAAGCTGTGACATGCTGTGCGATACTGTGACATGCTGTGACATGTTCTGAGATGCTGTGACATGCTGTGCACTACTGTGACATGCTGTGACATGTTCTGAGATGCTGTGACATTCTGTGCGATACTGTGACATGCTGTGCAATACTGTGACATGCTCTGCGATATTGTGACATGCTGTGACATGTTCTGAGATGCTGTGACATACTCTGAGATACCCAGCGCACTGCTTTCCATGACGCTGGCCTGCCTTGCAGGAGGTGCTGCACGAGCGCCAGATTGAGAAGTTCTTCCGGACAAATGGAGCTGTGTTTGCAAAGCTGCAAGTCGTGGGACCTGAGGAGAACCTGAGCCCCGGGGAGGCTCGCAACATGGCCATGTAAGCAAGACCGCGTGTCGGTCATTTACCACCACAGCGAGCGGATACTCCTGTCAGCCACTCGGAATAAAAATAGTTATAATGATTTTATTAATAATGATGATTATTTTATTATTTTTCTATCTACGTGACTTTACCGAAAGACCCAAAGAGTATGATAATGATGCAATTTGTCACGCAGACAATGATTCACATACTCTTGAGGCACTGAGCCAAGCTCAGTACTGACAGCCAGATAGAAGAGGTGAGGCCTCTAATTGACTCTTAAAAGTCGGTGTTGAGTGAATACTGCTGCTGCTGATCCTACAAATGTGCAGCAGTGGGACGATGATGATGGCCATGTTCCAGACGGCAGGGGCTGCCACGGAGAAATATCACCTGGCAGTGAAAAGTTCTTCTCCTTGGTGTAGAGAGGAGCAGGAGGAGGTTGTGAGTCGAGTTGTCACTGCTGCTGCGGAGAGTTATACTGTGAGCTGTTGTGCAGGATTACAGGAGCGTCAAAAGTATGTTTGGCCTCTTGCAAATTGTATAAAATAACCAAAGCATATTTCATTATTCAGGTAATGATAATTTAAATCCCGTTTTCAATCCCCATTAGCTGCCGATTGTTCAAGATGCGTTGCCCAAGAACATAAGCGACATAGCGAGATGCTTCTATTTTCCTGTTCAAATTCTACATTGTCACGGTTGGGGTGAGCCTATCCATTCCACAACCACTGTTCAGAATCATAATATTTATTTATACTGGAGGAATCTGATGAGCTATAAATCTATTTTTAACAGATGTGCAGTAGGGTGGGGTAAGAACGCTACAGCAACAAACATTACTAAAGCACGACAGTAGTGCAGAGTACAAGAAAGGAAAACAAATCTCCCAAACACTTCGAAATGAAACTAAACCATCCTCATTCTACCAACCAAAGCCCACTGATGTATTCACTTCTTTTTCAGACCTAGCCACAAACAGTGTCTCAACAAAGGCTTATCATGTGGACATTTATAGCACCAAAATAATCTAAATGATCAAAATGCATTGTTTATAAATGTGGAGGGAAAAACCAGAGGACCAGGAGAAAAAATCCACGCGACCACGAGGAGAACATGCAAACTCCAAATATACAGGCGTCAGGGTCTGGATTGAACCCCCAACCTCCTGTTGACTCTTGCACAGTGGTCTTAATTGTACCAACCCAGGGGGATGATGGGCCGAGTCAATCCCCAATCAGGATTTTAATTCGCAATCTTTGCGATTGCGAGCCACTCGCTGTTCCGCTAAGTCACCTTTGCCGGTCGTTTTCCGCTGGCCAAAAGTTACTGACACATGGTGAGTAAAGCAGGAGCCCGTGGCTGCGTTGAGTGGGGACTTGGTGACCACTCTGTTCTGCTGCTGGCGCTACCCCCTAGCTGCTGCTGCATGAAGCCCCCGTCCCACATGTTCTCTAACTGAGAGCCATCGAGCCAGAGCAACGAAGCCCAACGAGCTCCACTCAGGTGGAGCGCTGCCTGTGGGTGCCGCAGCCCGCCAGAAGCGTCGACCTCCGACGCCCGTCACGCATTGTGACTGAAAGACTCGCAGTTGTCTTATCTCATTGTATCGAAACTTTGTATTTGGCACCTTTCCCGAAGGCACTTTACAGCGATAATAAAATTGGATGTAAGATGATAATGGTTTGAGAGTGTTAAGGAGGGGTTGGGGTAGGCCTGGCCTTACTCTTTGGTTTTTTCGGTAAAGTCACGTAGAAATAATAAAAAATAATAAAAATAAAATTTTAGGCCTGGCCTGTTAGCTGGGATTCGACAGTTCCCAATCCCTCCGGACTCGCCGCCAAAGTCAAGCTCAGACATTGCGGACCGCCATGCAGTAAAAAAAAGACAATGGAAGTTTTGTTAAGAATTGCGGATCACTTCCCACGGCCATAGGAACCTCCCAGTGCTCTGTGGATCACAAGTTGGGAATGACTGTTACAGAGCAGTGTCTTTCAGCGTGGTCCGTGCCTCCGTGTGTTCTCTTTTGTAGGGACCTGTGCCGCCAAGATAAAGCCTGCGACTTTTACATGAGCATTGACTCGGACGTTGCCCTGACAAACCAACAAACCCTCAAAATACTTATTCAGCAAAACAGGTACGAGACACGCTGTTGTGCAATGCCTGTATGTTGTCTGTAGAAGAAATTGAATGAAAAAAGCGCTGAATTCCTCCCCCTCTCGGTAACGCTGCCCTCGTTTCTGTTCCCATGCTCTTCAGGGGAGTCATTGCGCCAATGGTGTCACGGCATGGGAAGCTGTGGTCGAACTTCTGGGGAGCACTGAGCTTGGACGGGTTCTACGCTCGCTCGGAGGACTACATCGACATCGTGGAGGGGAAGAGACTGTACGCACACCGATCACTCCGCACCGATCACTCCGCACCGATCACTCCCCACCGATCACTCTACACTGATCACTCCCCACCGATCACTCCACACCGGTCACTTCCCACCGATGACTCCACACCCATCACTCCCCACTGATCACTCCCCACTGATCACTCCGCACCCATCACTCCACACCAATTACTCCACATTTGTGCCTCCTAGGAAGAAGGGACTGGGTTCGATTTTCGGCTTCGATTTTCGGCTCTGCCGTTTGCTGTGTGGAGCTTATATGTTCTCACTTTGTTCTCCTTCCGTTCTGCAGTGTGTGAGTGGAGTTACTTTGCTCTCTCCCTCTTCTGCATGAGTTTGCTCAGAGTTCTCCAGTTTTCTGCCATAGCTAAAGAACACATAACATCCCCATGCTGAAACATTACACTATAACTTACCCTTTTGGGATTGTACACAGAAGCAACACCCCTCTACTGCTAAAACCTGGCAGGAGCGTATTGAAAAATAAATGGTCTTTACTTTTTTGTATAATGGGCCTTGCCTGGTTGTACAAGTGAGATGACGCTCGAGACTAATTCCCCCGACAGGTGCGTCACTATTTACACGTGTTAGACTTTGTAAAGAGGATGTTCATGATAAAGGAGGTTCTGGAACGATGTTGAGAAAGAGGTCAAGAGTCAGAAGCATGAAAACTCTGCTTGATGACTTGAAAGTAGGTATGTAAGAAGGGGCAGCCATTTAGTGAAATGACAAGGAAAGCTGAAGGTCAGTCGGACAGGATGGAGAGAGCTTAAGTCGTGCCGTCGAGCAGATGACTAAAAAAGATTCTTAATTAAAATGTTAACCGTGGTGCGTTTCCCACCCATGTGGCCTCTGCCTTCCTGCTCCTCATTCTCCATTCCTGTCCCGGGCCACCATCTCCACATCCACTCCATATTCCTTTACATCCTGGGTTCACCGCCTCCAACTGCCTCTATCTAGGCCCTGCCTCTCCATCCCGCCCCCACCCCCCGGCACTTTCATGGTCAGCTACATTCCTTGTTCCCGTGTGGGTGTCATCTTCTTGCAATGCGCCATAGCTGTCTTGAGCCGGCTTTTCTCCGGCTTGTCTGAGATTGAAACCACCCACTCTTGCCTTCTTCCTCATCCCGTGATCCCTGAGATCAGTGTCGCCGCCATCCTCAGCACAGCGTGTGCGTATGTACGTTGAACTGCTTTCACACCATACGTAGCCAACCATGCTAATCGGAGGTGCCGGGAAGAAGGAAAGGAAAAGGACAGTGCTGGGAATGAGCATCGTTTTGTGCATGTGTTTTGTTTTCCAGAGGGGTTTGGAATGTCCCCTACATGTCGAGTGTGTACATGGTGAACGGCTCACTGCTCCGGGCTGAACTCAAGATGAAGAACATATTTGTGCTGAACAAACAGGACTCCGACATGACCTTCTGCGTGAATGTCCGGGCCCTGGTAGGTCTGCACAGACACCGGGGGAGCTCTTCCGTTGCCATCACACGTGCACGCACATTCCCATCTGCGCAGTTTCACAACGTGCTCAGAGATATATCCCCTCCCTAGAACCCAAAAAAGGCTGTTGGGGCAAGTGCTAGTTAGCGAGCAGCTATTAAGGCCAGCACGGCACACAAAGGGGTGGGTGGTCAGCACTATGCCGGGCCGCCTTTATCTCCCCAGTGGTGATGTTTATACACCAGAGCAGGTACTAATTCGAGACTGAGTCGACCTAGGGGAGTCTCGGGGTCGTTTCAGATATTCGTCACTGATATTGGGGAATTGAACGTGGGTCGCTGGGTTTGTCGCGTAGTTCACTACCAAACGTGCCCACAGCAGAATGTACAGCACTGCATGCGCGTGGCCCCATCTCGCACCCATTACATGAGAGCGCACGCTGCTTCTACCACACGCCCATCATGTTTAAAAGCCCGTGCTGGCATTGAGCAGTGGCTCCCAGTGTGAACACATCCTATATCACAATTAACAAATTAATTCGACACACTTGTCAACAACAGTGCCTTAACAAAGAAAAATATAAAATGGGCCCACGTTTTAAGCAATGGTCCTTCTTCATAGCATGTTTGTATGAATGTTTAACTTCTTTTGCACCGTATGTAGCGAACCATGCTAATCGGAGGCGTGGAGGAAAGACCACAAACTAAACACAAAAAGCAATTCTAAAGAAATGAGTTTTCAATATAGATTTAAAGGGCATAGCTTCAGTGGCTTCCTAATATCGGAAGGAAGAGCGTTCCAGACTGCCGCAGAAGCTTCAATCGCGTAGCATTTCCATTATGTGCTATGAAGAAGGGCCAATGCCCAAAACGTTGCCGAAATTAAGGTCTGCGCAAGTAAGTCCAAAATAATCACTAGCATTGTACATTTCTTTTTGAGGCAGTTTTGTTGATGAGCGTTTAGAGTTTATTTTTTTTACATTTGAAGGCACAGAGGGCTCGCCGAACAGCACTCACCCGGTGGGCTAGATGGAGGCTGGCTGGATTTTTCCACGTGATTGCGGAGCACAGCGCTCAGAACGTCGAGCGGCCACAGCGCACGCCGATGCCCTCCGTTTAGACCGAGCATTGCAACGACTGAGCCGTGGCTCTCTGTGAAATGGAGGTTTCATTCGTTTATCCTCGCACATTAACATTCACCCCCGTTCCCCCATGTTCCTCTTCATTCACGCGTCGCAGGGTGTGTTCATGTACATCACAAACATGGTGGAGTTTGGCCGTTTGATCACGATGGAAAACTATGACACCTCGCATCTGCACAACGACCTGCGCCAGATCTTCCAGAACCCCTTGGTATGTACACATTGTCGTGTTGCATGTACGTACGTATGGTGAACTTCTTTCGTACCGTACGTAGCCACCCTTGCTAATTGGGTTGTCATCCCAGTACGAGTAAGCACGAGAAGCAGGGCACACAATCGATTTTCACATTAATTTCCTCTTTTTTGAACATCGACAGAACTGCAACTCAACAGCAATGAAGTTAGTTCCCCAGATATAACTAAGCGTGTTCCTTTCGTCTTGGTTCGTAACCAAGGTTGAAGTTCATGTTCTCGAAAAACAACAAGAGGGGTGGTGGAAGTGGTTGGGGGGCGGTGGGCAACATCGGGGTTTGGTCTAAATGTGCGGGAGAGCTTTATGCTGTGAGCGCATCTGTGGGAGCGTGTCTGTGAGTGTCTGTTTGACTCGGCCTCAAATGAGTACCTGGTGTGGTGTGTAAAACATCGCTACTGGGGAGACAAAGGCAGTCGGACACAGTGTTGCCTACCCACCCCCTCGTGTGACGAATCCACTTGGTGCGCCTGTCATCTGTGGCCAATGCAGCCTATGGAGTTGGGACTCTCGCAGGAACATGATGATACAATCTGCGTAATCCGCCAACCCTAGCCCTCTTAAGCATGTGGCACCACTGCTGGCTCGGGTGTCAGAGTGCGTGCTGCTTGCTTTCTATTGCACACACACAATCACTGCATTCAAGTCCTAATTAGTTCTTACATAGCTCCCTGTAGCAGCAGCTGGCATGGTGTGTGCAATTATTTCGTTGTACGTATGTTGAACGTCTTGCGCGCCGTACATAGCCAATATTCCTAATCAGAGGTGTCCATATTAAGTTGTATCTTTTGATATTTTTTATAGGATTGGAAAGACAAATACATTCACGAGAATTACTCTAAGGTTTTAACCAAAGGCTACGTGAAGGAGGTAAGTTCTTGAAAAAGGTACCCCCCCCCCCCTTCGTGAATTGCAAAACCGGTTTTGGAAATGTCCTCGTTTCAGATTCGAGTGCCATCAGTGGCTGTGAGCATCGCCCCTTTCGTGGCACAGCTCTGGAGCCTCAGCCCAACACCGAGGGCTCCAATAACAATATCAATAAAATCATAAACCCAATTGGCGGTGGTAACGTGCCCCATGGGTAGCATGGTAGCCACTTGCTGCAGAGGTTTGTGGTTCATTGTGGGCACCGCAGTGGCCAGATGTTAACTACCTCGCCTGGTATACAGGAGGTCATGGGTTTTATTCCGACCCTGATGCCTGTATATTTGGAGTTTTGCCTGTCTCTCCCCATAGTCGCGTGGATTTTTCTCCGGGTCCTCTGGTTTTTCCCTCCACATTTATAATCAACATCACGCGTTAAGAGTATTTGGCTGCTGTAAATGTCCACTGATAAGCCACTTCGTTGAGCTATCAATTGTGGCCAGGTCACTTCTGAAAAAAATCTATATAGCAGCTCAGTGGGTCTTACCTGTTAAAATAAAACAGAGTTTAGTTTAAATATCCTGCAGGCTGCCCTGCATAGTCCTGCGGGTGTATTAACCATAACACACGTCGTCTGCTTCCTCGTGGACGTAAAAGATTAAAGGGACTGATTTATGGTCGCCACCTGAGCTGGTTCTACCCACACAGTACGGGAATATGCATCTCCGTTCGGGTGCCAGGAATTTATTTGTCCCGAGATCTGGTGCCGGAATCGTGTTTCGCTTCATTGCAGGATGCTGCACACGTTCCGATAAGCCTCGGCTGACTGAGAAAAATGTCTAGGTTTGCTCTACAGTAGATAATAAGGTGGAAGCACTGGACTGGTTTCCACAAAAGCATGAATTTATATATAAAAATCGTGATGTTATGAAAAGTTAAGTTCTGTTCCACATTTCAGTGCGTGCATGATTTTAACATTTCATTCAGCCCGCTTTTTGAGTGTCGTTTCGTTTTTATTGGATAATTGCCATGTGAATAACTAAAATAATTTACCATTATTATTGTCACACTATTTTCTATCCCCAATGCTGTTTGTTTGTTTTGCAGCCGTGCCCAGATGTTTATTGGTTCCCGATTTTTTCGGAAGCTGCCTGTGAAGAACTTATTGAAGAAATGGAGCATTTTGGGAAATGGTCAAGTGGTGCCCACAATGTGAGTTATAATCTTATACCCTTGGCGGTGCGATAATCCTCGCAGCAGCTTTTGAATAGCCATCCAATAAAGATGGTCACCGCAACATGCACTTTCAGATGCACTTCTGCAGCCGTCTGGAACGCTCTTCCATCCGATATTAGGAAGCCACTGGAGCTATGTACTTTTAAATCTAGATTGAAAACTAATTTCTTCAAAACTGCTTTTTGTGTTTAGTTTGTTGGCCTTCCCCCGCACCTCTTATTAGGATGGTCTGGCAAGGTACAGTGCTAAAGAAGTTCAACATACATACAATAAGATAACTGCATAAACCACGAACATGTGGCCGATGGGCAGTGACGTGGCCTAGCGGGAGCGCGTGCACCGCTTGTTGCAGAGGTTCGCGGTTCGAATCCAACGGCGCCCTGGTTAATCCGACAGTCATGTGCGTTAGAATATAGACGCCATTTGCTCGCAGTGGACCTTACAGGTCCCATGACATCTCTCGCAAGAGTAGATGATTGTGTGTCAGCGTCACTGTCCAAATTTGCCAAATTTTATCAATTATACCACAATTCTTAGCTCTTTCGGTAAAGTCACGTTGAAGGGAAACAATAAAATAATAAAATATATATAAAACAAAAAAAATTCTCACGACGTTTCGACCATAACACAAACGGTCGTCATCAGGTGTGTCGGTTTGCATAAATTTGCATAAATAAATTATGCAAACCGACACACCTGATGTCGACCGTTTGTGTTATGGTCGAAACGTCGTGATAATTTTTATTGTTTTATATATATTTTATTATTTTATTGTTTCCCTTCAACGTGACTTTACCGAAAGAGCTAAGAATATGAATTACTGCAGTCACGAAAGCTTTAAATCAAAATTATACCACAAATTACTTCATTGAGATTCTACACAGAAGTCATTGATCGCTCCTTACTGTTGATTGATAGAACATGGGCCACTGTTGGTGTCGGTTTATTCGCTGCCTTCCAGCTTGCCTGTGGATTCCTGCCCCAATGGGCTGATGGACCGAATTGCCCCGTCTCGTTAGTAATCGGTCAAATGTTCCGATGATGTCACTGTGAGGCACGGCCCACACAGGGCACATACAGGGCACACACACGGCACACACACAGGGCACACACACAGGGCACACACACAACACACAGGGCACACATAACACACAGGGCACACACACAACACACAGGGAACACACACAACACACAGGGAACACACACAACACACACAGGGCGCACACAGGGCGCACACAGGGCGCACACACGGCACACACAGGTCACACACACAACACACAGGGAACACACAACACATACAGGACACACACACAGGGCACACACAGGGCACAAACACAACACACACACGGCACACACAGGACACAAACACAACACACACACGGCACACACACAACACACACATGGCACATATGGCACACAGGGCACACACAACACGGCACACACACAGGGCACACAGAGCACACACAACACAAGGCACACACACGGCACACAGGGCACACACACAACGCACACACGGCACACAGGGCACACACACAACACACACAACACACACACGGCCCACACACACGGCACACACACACGGCACACAGGGCACACACAGCAGGGCATACACACACAGGGCACACTGTGCGGACACTGGGAATGTGAGTGTCCAGAGCACCACACACACCAGGGATGCTGCGTGGTATAACGGTCAGCATACTGGACTTCATATCCAGAGGTCAAAGGATGGACCAGCCAATTCTAACTTATTATTATAGTTGTTGTTTATCAGTGTGAGTGGATGTTCAGCATTTCCTATCTTTCAGAACGAGTTGTCAATCTGTGAGGCTTTGAAGTCGTCCGTGCTGCAAGCGTCATTCACAATTAACTGTTAGTTCCAGAAAACAGTAAAGTGAAGTGAATTAAACCTTCACTGCCATTCACAAATTCTCTTTCTGGCCATAATAGAGCTTTTTTGGGTTAGAGTGCGTAAATATAAATCGTTAAACCCGCCACCACCCGACACAACAAATTAGTAAGGTTTGTCATGTAAACAGAACATGCCAATTCGTTACTAGTGTAGTGAGACAGTAAAACTTGGAGGCACTTCTTTATTTAGCAAGCACCATCGGGATAACACACTATTTATTAAGACCGTCTATTGTTGGCGGCACTACATAGTTAGAACAGTTGATAGGCTGTCTGACTAGCGGTGCCCCGGGACGGCGAAGACGGAGACGAGAAGAATGGTGATGACGAGAAGAATGGTGACGATAAACTTGAGCAGCACGACGGGGATCATCGCATTTCCAGCAACAGCCACGAGGTCCCAAACAGGGGCCCCTTTTATACTCTCAGCATGGCCTCGCTCCGCCCCAACCACGCCCCCTTTCTGGAACCTACTAGCGGGTTCCCGAGGCTTCCCGATGGGCTCCTTTTGTGACCTTTCCCCGAGATCCCCCTCTCGTGTATATCATGGCCTGCTGACGTCAGTACTGCCATACACCGCAGATCCCCTTTTTCGCCAGTAGCCAGCGCTATGCCACCACACTAGTAAAGCACATTTACAATCTGAGTATGATGTTTTGCCAGTAATTACAACTAGCATCATCAGGTGACAGCTAGATTTGTGGAGAAATCCTTTTTTATTCTATATTTACGTGATCTAACCCAAAAAAATCCGTATTATGGATAATATCGTCGCGGAAGCCTACGTGTTAAACTGACTCTATCTGTCCTTTCAGTGTCGCATCGCCTTAATTGTCAGAAGCAAAACATCATTTTCAGACATGGCCTCGGGTCAGAGAGGCAAGAGTTCAATGGTTTTTGGGGCACCCGTTGAAAAGTGACCGAGAAAGATGCAATTGGAAGAGCCGTGGAGATTAGAGAGCCACCGACTAGCATCGAGACTCGCATAGAGATTCGCAGAATCATATATAGAGACTCACAGTCTAACACAGAGACCCATTGATTACTCAGAGACCCATAGATTATAAGGGCTATGCAGATGTCACCTGCACAGGCCAGAAGGAAGGAGAGACCGAGGCTGAGATAGGAGGATGTAGTGGAACGAGATACGAAGACGGTGGACGTGACTAGAGAGGAGAATAGAAGTCTGAGCAGCCGAACCGAACCGAACGGAGTTAATGGGACTTTTGGTTTAGAATGAGAAGGATCTCCATTGCACGGCACTGTCCCACGGCGCATGGTACTCTCTCTGCCATCACCTTGGAAATACCCAGCCTGCTGTGACGTCAGCTCGAACAGGGACTGCCAGGTGTGTCCACTCGGAAAACCCTCAACAATCCGGTCATTTTGCCATTATCGAAAACAAAAAGAGCCACTCTCTTTACTTAGCGAGGTACAAATTTCGATTTAAAGCTTTCGTGACCGCAGGGATTCATATTATTGGTTCTTTCGGTAAAGTCACTTAGAAGGGAAATAATAAATAATAAAAATAAAGCAATAAACGTTTATACACTGATATTATTAGGAGGGTGGCCCTGGCCCTTGTTGATTTGATATTCATTCTTGATTTGAAGCTTTCGTGACTGCAGAAATTACTCTTTGGTTCTTTCGTTAAAGTCACGTAGAAAGAAACAATAAAATAAATAATACAACACAACGTTTAGATTGCAACACAAGCAACCGTCATCAGGTGAGAACTGTATGTAAATGCAAGCTCGGAGAGAGACACATACACAGAGAGAGAGACAAACATAGACACGGAGAGAGACACATGCACAGCGAGAGAGACAAACACAAAGAGAGAGACAAACAGACAACCAGAGAGAGAGACACACAGGAGAGACACATAGAGAGACACACGCAGAGAGAGACACACAGAGACACAGAAACAACGCCTCTGTGACGAGGTATTATATAGAGAGGGGGGGGGGGAGTGGGGCAGAGAAATTAGCATGTCAATGAGAGACAAGGGGGGATGGGGAAGAGCCAAAGAGTAATTCCTGCAGTCACGAAAGCTTCAAATCAAGATTGAACCACCTCTACGAGGAGGATTACCCCACAACTCATACTTAACTTCAAATTTAGCAATCTGTGGAAGAACGTAATCAACCAGGTAAAGTGTTAACTGTTGTGTTAGCCGACTCTCTGTGTTGCATTGCATTACATTTCTAAGTTTACTAGGTTTGATTTCTCAAGCTTCCAATGTATCTCCCCCTGCTGCAGATCCCATCCCCCCCTTGTCTCTCATTGACATGCTAATTTATCTGCCCCACCCCCCCCCCTCTATAATTTCTCGTCACAGAGGCGTTGTTTCTCTTTGTGTCTCTGTCTGTGTCTGTTTCTCTCTGCGTGTCTCTTCTGTGTGTGTCTCTCTGCGTGTGTTTCTCTGTGTGTTTGTCTCTCTCTCTCTCTGTGTGTCTCTCTGTGTATGTGTCTCTCTCCGTGTTTGTGTTTGTCTCTCTGTATGTGTCTCCGAACTTTCATTTACATACAGTTCTCACCTGATGACAGTTGCTTGTGTTACAATCGAAACATCGTGTTTGATATTCATTCTTGATTTGTGATTGGCGGCAGGGTGGCAAAGTGCCCCCACTTGTGCCTCATGGCAATAAGAGCCTGGGTTCGATTCCCAACTCGGGTGCCTTTCCGTATGGAGTCTGTATGTTCTGCCTCTGTTCTGCGTGGGTTTTCTCCAGGTTCTCTCTGGTTTCTCCCTCTAGCCAAAACATCCCAATGCTGCAAAATGACCTGAAAATTGCTCAATCGGGATCACACACAGCAGCAGCAACATCGCCCCCTTCTCCAGACAACTTGGCAGGACCCTCCTGAAAAAGAATCCCGAGACTCGGTTTTAGTTTTTTCCTGTAGGGTGAACCAGCGTAGCAGGAACAACGATAATGAAGTGAATGCAGGTGGCGTTCGCCCAGTGCGGGTTGTTGCGTGGGTTGCGCAAGTTGCATGCGTGTTGAGAGGGGAGCGAGAGGAGGCTGTGCCCACCCCCGCTCGGTTTTCTGAGCCGTCTGCTGTGTTGCTCACGGCAGGACGAGCGCCTGGACGGGGGCTACGAGAACGTGCCCACCATCGACATCCACATGAAGCAGGTCGCCATGGAGCAGGAGTGGCTCAAGTTCCTGCTCGATTACGTGGGCCCCGTCACGGAGAAGATGTACCCCGGGTACTTCACCAAGGTGCGGCCGCCACCACCGCACGCCCGCTGGGCTTCACCGTGCCTGTTCACATTGGCAGAAACACACGCTAGGGCTGCCACCCTATCCACAGAAAAAACCCGGATATGTTTCTCAATTGCGCCTATGTCTATTATCAAAACTGCATGCTGTATCCTGCATTGAAGTTCAACATAATACCGGTACCAGATCTCACTCCCTACTCGCACTGACTACTTACCACTCACATTTACTCTTTTAACAAAAACAAAAATCCCCCGTGTAGCCTTAACAGACCATTGGGGCATGTGCTGTTATCGAGCACCTATGAAGGTGGGCACAGCTCACTCGGGGGTGGGTGGCGAGCACCACACCCGGCTGCCTTTGTCTCCTTCGTGGTGATGTTTACACATCACACCGGGTACTCATTTTGAGGGTGAGTCGACCTAGGGGAGGCCCATGACTGGTTCAGTTAATCGTCACCGGTGTTGGCTGTGAGTGGGAATCGAACTCGGGTCACTGGGTTCGTAGTGCAGCACGCTAACTGCTATACCTCCGCACCCCCCAACACAAGACTCACTCACCACTCACTAAATTCACACTCTTATCACTCGCTATTTCCCCACTCACTACTCGCCAATAACACTCATTACTACTTGCGACTAACAATCATTAATCCACACTCACCACTTTCCGTTCACACTCAAATTCTCACACTCACTTCCAGACATATAAACAATATATTTTAGCTTAGGCCGAAAGCCTCCTTCGTATAGCAGGATCATTGATTATTGTTCGGAGTTAAGAACGAGGACTTTGCTACCGAACACGAAGCCAAACTTCTGCGCTGTCTCCAGATTCGTGACGCAGCCGTTCCACGGCTCTCAGATGAGATGGTCGTGCCAAGCAGATGAATGGTTTCACTATGGATAAGAAAATAATTGCTAAATACGATGGGACGGTGTGGTGAAACTACCAGTGCTAGGCGATATTATCGGTGACTGGCCGCTCCGTGGCTGACCGTGACAGGCTGTTTCTCCCATGCTTGGGTGTGCTGCCGACTGAGCATACTGAACAGCCGCTAGGCCAGGTAGCACACGTCTCAAGCAGTGGCAGAACTCCACACCTTGCTGCACAATGCACTCCCTCCTGCACACTACACATCCTACTGCACTGCTCGCCCTGCTGCACACCTTGCTGCATTTTGCACACCCTGCTACCAATTGTGCTGTGCTCCCTGCTTCACATTGCATGCTACGCCGCCGCTGCACACTGCACACCCTGCTGCACATTGCACGCTACTCCCACTGCTTACAGCTGAACCCTACATACTGTGCTGCGCTCCGCACACCCTGCTGCACAACTCTGCTTTTTAGCCTGCGCTTTTGTCCTGAAGTTTAGCGCTGCATATCTGTGCGCAAGTAGAATTATAGGAAGTGAGATGTCCAAGGTCATGAGATGGCCTGCAGCGTCCTCACTTCCACTGTGTGTCCTCTGTGGTTCCCCCAGTGCCAGTCCAACATGATGTTCGTGGTCCGCTACCGGCCGGATGAGCAGCCCTCCCTGCGCCCCCATCACGACGCCTCCACCTTCACGGTCAACATTGCGCTCAACAGCGTGGGGGTGGACTTCCAGGTACCCTCTCCCCTTCCCTCTCGTGTTCCTTTCGTACGTATGTTTGGTGAACTTCTTTCGCACCGTACGTAGCTAATTGGAGTTTGCGGATGGAAGGACAACAAACGAAACACAAAGTAGTTCTAAAGAAATTAGTTTTCAATCTTCTCCACTTCCCTCTCCTCTTGCTCAACCTTCTTATGCCTGTCCACAGTGCCTCCTCTCCCTTTGTCAGTATACGTAAAGTGTGTGTGTTTGTGTACGTGTCATTACGTGTTCGGTATGTATATGGGTGGGTGGCAGGGTGGCTCAGTGGTAACCACTCGTGCCACACAGCAAGAAGGTCCTGGGTTTGATTCCAGACTCCAGTGCCTTTCTGTGTGGAGTGAATGTTTCCCCCGGTTCTGCATGGGTTTACACTCTAGGTTCTCTGGTTCCCCTCACTTACCCATCTAACCTATAAAAGGCATTTTTTGTCTGTCTGTCTGTCCGTCTGTCCGTCTGTGTATGTTCGCTTGCGGGGGATTTGGCTCTCGGACCGCGGGGTTCGCATGGAAATTTTTTTGCCGGGCGGCACGCCCCGGGCCCCCTGCTTGGCATAGGCTATTCCGTTTTGCCGTCCGCCGCCTTTAAAGTGGTTTAATTAACGGTTTAGTGCGATCCCTCTTTATTTATTTATTTACTTTCACCGACCGGCTCGCTGCTGCGCATGCGCGAAACTCTGACACAAGTTGTTGCCCCTGGCAACGCACAGACGCCATCGCTGCAGGGGGGACGCCATTTCTCATTCAAAATGCAACAAATTTACACGCAACGCTGCGGTAAATTCATCAGTGTTATGTCCTCTTCTCTCCCCCTCCACCCCAATGTGTGCACTTACTATTATAGGGTCGTAGATACTATATTATAGCGATTAAATAGGATTATTGTAGCGCGGGGGGGGCAGGGTAGCGGCCCAGCCCACAGCCTTGGCCGGCCGGGCAATCTAGGTGAGGCCGCAGGCTCTGCATGGGACTAGGCCTCGTCACGGCAATCTGTCAGGTGAGTACTTTGTGCTATAGAGTCGATATATACTGCTACTAGCGGGAACATATATATTTTAAAATGTCTGAAATCTTGAAAACATAACATACAAATGAAAAGATAACTCATTAATTTAAATTAAAATAAACCCGATCGCGCCAAGAATTGATTCTTTAAATCGCGCAAAGGAATCGAAGGTTGTAGATTACTTTAGAATCGGCCTATTCCTGTTTAATATACAGTAAGTTTTGATTTAAAGCTTTCGTGACTTCAGAGATTCATATTCTTGGTTCTTTCGGTAAAGTCAGCACGTAGAATAAAATAATAAAACTATAAAGCAATATATTTATATTATTTTATTGTTTCCCTTCTACGTGACTTTACCGAAAGAACCAAGAATATACAGTAAGTATGCTAAACATTTCGAACATACACACACATTTCCCTTTCATATGTAAGATAGATAGTCAGCATGTACTACTGTAGTGAAAGCTGTGATCATAGCAGGATACCACCACAGTCAGCATACAAAGCTGTAGTCATAGCAGAGATACCACCATGGTCAGCATGCAATGCTGTAGTGAAAGCAGGATACCACCACAGTCAGCATGCAATGCTGTAGTCACAGCAGGATACCACCATGGTCAGCATGCAATGCAGTAGCCATAGCAGGATACCACCACAGTCAGCATGCAATGCTGTAGTCATGGCAGGATACCACCACAGTCAGCATGCAATGCTGTAGTCATAGCAGGATACCACCACAGTCAGCATGCAATGCTGTAGTGAAAGCAGGTACCACCACAGTCAGCATGCACTGCTGTAGTCATAGCAGGATACCACCATAGTCAGCATGCAATGCTGTAGTCATAGCAGGATACCACCACGGTCAGCATGCAATGCTGTAGTCATAGCAGGATACCACCACAGTCAGCATGCAATGCTGTAATGAAAGCAGGTACCACCACAGTCAGCATGCACTGCTGTAGTCATAGCAGGATACCACCATAGTCAGCATGCAATGCTGTAATCATAGCAGGTCCCACCACAGTCCTTATGCACTGCTGTTATCATAGCAGGTTCCACCACAGTCATTATGCGCTGCTGTAATCATAGCAGTTACCACCACAGTCAGTATGCACTGCTGTTATCATAGCAGGTACCACCACAGTATACACTGCTGTAATCATAGCAGGTACCACCACAGCAGTATGCACTGTTGTAATCATAGCAGGAACCACCACAGTCAGTATGCGCTGCTGTAATCATAGCAGGTACCACCACAGTATACACTGCTGTAATCATAGCAGGTACCACCACAGCAGTATGCACTGTTGTAATCATAGCAGGAACCACCACAGTCAGTATGCACTGCTGTAATCATAGCAGGTACCACCACAGTATACACTGCTGTAATCATAGCAGTTACCACCACAGTCAGTATGCACTGCTGTAATCATAGCAGGTACCACCACAGTCAGTATGCACTGCTGTAGTGATAGCAGGTACCACCACAGTCGGTATACACTGCTGTAGTGATAGCAGGTACCACCACAGTCGGTATACACTGCTGTCGTGATAGCAGGTACCACCACAGTCGGTATACACTGCTGTAGTCATAGCAGGTACCACCACAGTATGCACTGCTGTAATCATAGCAGGTCCCACCCCAGTCAGTATGCGTTGCTGTAATCATAGCAGTTACCCCCACAGTCAGTATGCACTGCTATTATCATAGCAGGTTCCACCACAGTCATTATGCGCTGCTGTAATCATAGCAGTTACCACCACAGTCAGTATGCACTGCTGTTATCATAGCAGGTACCACCACAGTATACACTGCTGTAATCATAGCAGGTACCACCACAGCAGTATGCACTGTTGTAATCATAGCAGGAACCACCACAGTCAGTATGCGCTGCTGTAATCATAGCAGGTACCACCACAGTATACACTGCTGTAATCATAGCAGGTACCACCACAGCAGTATGCACTGTTGTAATCATAGCAGGAACCACCACAGTCAGTATGCACTGCTGTAATCATAGCAGGTACCACCACAGTATACACTGCTGTAATCATAGCAGTTACCACCACAGTCAGTATGCACTGCTGTAATCATAGCAGGTACCACCACAGTCAGTATGCACTGCTGTAGTGATAGCAGGTACCACCACAGTCGGTATACACTGCTGTAGTGATAGCAGGTACCACCACAGTCGGTATACACTGCTGTCGTGATAGCAGGTACCACCACAGTCGGTATACACTGCTGTAGTCATAGCAGGTACCACCACAGTATGCACTGCTGTAATCATAGCAGGTCCCACCCCAGTCAGTATGCGTTGCTGTAATCATAGCAGTTACCCCCACAGTCAGTATGCACTGCTATTATCATAGCAGGTACCACCACAGCAGTATGCACTGCTGTTATCATAGCAGGTACCACCACAGCAGTATGCACTGCTGTAATCATAGCAGGTACCACCACAGCAGTATTCACTGCTGTAATCATAGCAGGTACCACCACAGCAGTATGCACTGTTGTAATCATAGCAGGAACCACCACAGTCAGTATGCACTGCTGTAATCATAGCAGGTACCACCACAGTATACACTGCTGTAATCATAGCAGGAACCACCACAGTCAGTATGCACTGCTGTAATCATAGCAGGTACCACCACAGTATACACTGCTGTAATCATAGCAGGTACCACCACAGTCAGTATGCACTGCTGTAATCATAGCAGGTACCACCACAGTCAGTATGCACTGCTGTAGTGATAGCAGGTACCACCACAGTCGGTATACACTGCTGTAGTGATAGCAGGTACCACCACAGTCGGTATACACTGCTGTCGTGATAGCAGGTACCACCACAATCGGTATACACTGCTGTAGTGATAGCAGGTACCACCACAGTATGCACTGCTGTAATCATAGCAGGTCCCACCACAGTCCTTATGCACTGCTGTTATCATAGCAGGTACCACCACAGTCAGTATGCGCTGCTGTAATCATAGCAGTTACCACCAGTCAGTATACACTGCTGTTATAATAGCAGGTACCACCACAGCAGTATGCACTGCTGTAATCATAGCAGGAACCACCACAGTCAGTATGCACTGCTGTATTCATAGCAGGTCCCACCATTGTCAGTATACACTGCTGTAATCATAGCAGGTACCACCACAGTCAGTATGCACTGCTGTAATCATAGCAGGTACCACCACAGTCAGTATGCACTGCTGTAGTGATAGCAGGTACCACCACAGTCGGTATACACTGCTGTAGTGATAGCAGGTACCACGACAGTCGGTATACACTGCTGTAGGGATAGGTGCCACCACAGCATGCACTGCTGTAATCATAGCAGTTCCCACCACAGTCCTTATGCACTGCTGTTATCATAGCAGGTACCACCACAGTCAGTATGCACTGCTGTTATCATAGCAGGTTCCACCACAATATGCACTGCTATAATCATAGCAGGTACCACCACAGTCAGTATGCACTGCTGTTATCATAGCAGGTTCCACCACAATATGCACTGCTATGATCAAAGCAGGTACCACCACAGTCAGTATGCACTGCTGTAATCATAGCACGTATCACACAGTATGCACTGCTGTAATCATAGCAGGTACCTTCACAGCAGTATGCACTGCTGTAATAGCAGGTACCACCACAATATGCACTGCTGTTATCATAGCAGGTTCCACCACAGTATGCACTGATGTAATCATAGCAGGTAGCACCACTGTCAGTATGCACTGCTGCAGTGATAGCAGGTACCACCTCAGTCGGTATGTACTGCTGTAGTGATAGTAGATACTGCTATCGAGTTGGTAGATACTACTATATAGAGTTAGAAGATACTAAAACAGTATATACCACTACAGTCAGTCAATACTGCTACAGTCAGTACATACTACTACGGTGAGTAACTACTGGAGTCAGTAGATACTACTATAGAGTGAGTAGATACTGCTATAGAGTTAGTAGTTACTACTATAGTCAGTGGATACTACTATAGAGTCAGCAGATACTACTATACAGTTAGTCTTTACTACTATAGAGTCGGTAGATACTACTGTAGGCCCAGTAAATACTACTACGGTCAGTAGTTACTGCTACAATCAGCAAATACTACTAAACAGTCAGTAGCTACTCCTGGCTCAGTAGATCCTACTGTACAGTCAGTAGATACAACTACAGAGTCAAGAGATACTACTTACTCTGTTGTATGTAGGGTGTGTAGGTATAGATACCTACGCGGGGTAAATATATTTTTTGAGGGGGGGGTGGGGGGGGGAGTGTCCACAATTTTCAGAAACCTTTTAGATCAACTATTTACCCCACACTTTCTATTACCTTTTGAACTTTTGCAAGCCTCTTATAATTTTGTTGGTGGTGAAATGGACAAATGGCCCACCGGGCTTTCACGATATCTTAGTATCTGTGTATGTATATGTAAGGTTTTTACAAGTAGTTCTAAAATATTTTTTTTACCCGGGCAGCGCCGGGTACTTACCGCTAGTAGCTAATAAAACCACTTGATGTAACTGGTATTTTGCAAACATTCCAATTCTGAAATATTTTGGATGCGCACGATGTGGTGCATCCCAACGCCGTCGCCAAACGCCCCCGCGCCGCGATTAATGCCGCGGGCATTTTGCTGGCTGGCTGACGCTGCGTCCCCACCCTTGTGGCATCTCCACAGGGCGGGGGCTGCAACTTCTTGAGGTACAACTGCAGCGTGACGGCCCCACGCAAGGGCTGGGCCTTCCTGCACCCCGGCCGCCTGACGCACTACCACGAGGGGCTGCCCGTGCTCAACGGCACGCGCTACATCGTCGTCTCCTTTGTGGACCCCTAAGCTGGGTCCCCACGGCGAAGCCACACTCCACTTCTCCCTGTACCTCCACCCACCTGCCGCCCTCCGCCGGTGCCTGTGAGCCACGCAGCGCAGCAGAACAACCTTGAAAATCCCAGCGGTGGTTTCTGTGGCATTACTGTGGATACTGGTGGCGCCATCAATTGCCGACTTTGTTTATTTAAAACGTAAAAAAAAGCTGCACACACCAAATAACGTGCTAAGCGAATTGAAGCCAGTTTTTAATGGTTCGTGAATGCCGTTCGGAACGAGCGCGTGCAGTTTTTTTCACAAGCTGGTCTCAGACATCACAAATCAAATCTGCCAAAAGGGATTTTGCTCTGCGGCCTAGCTCCCCAAGCTCGACCTGTGCACATGCACTGATTTTTTATGCAAAAACACTCATTTGGCCGTAGAAGGCCCCGGGAAGTCCCTGGGAAGGTCCCGTGTCCCTTAGTATGAAGTGCATCCTTACAACTTCAACAGTGTGGGCAGCATAACCAGATTTGACTCTGTAACCTTCTTGAAACTCTTCGATATTTTTACATCCACAATACTGTTAACAGTGAACAGTATTTCCCTGCTGGGTGCCACTGTAAAGTTTATATTTGAAAGGATTTTTCCTCATGAGAATTTCAACCGTAGTTTTGTTATACACCACGAGTAAATGCTGATGGCAGGTCCCACTCACCTGCAGAGCGCTTGCATGTTCACGGCCAACCAGACTTCAATGCCTTGTGAGCCGTGACCTCGATTTCCGTGCACAATTTCACGACATCGGTGTAAAAGATGTGACACGACGTAGGCCATCGCTGATTCCGTAGTTTATCCTGAAGGGAATTGCCTTGTGTAGCAGCAGCAGCAGCAGCCGCCGATCAGCCTCGTCATTTCTCCCCATCAGATCCAGAGCGATCTCCAGGTATCCTGGCTCCCTCTGCGTGGGACGGGCTCATTGACCACAGATTACTGCTGAACGGAATGCTCACGCTTCTGCCTCAACCGGGCAACGCAGCTGGGCTGCGTGCCGCACGCAGGGTCGGTGGGCCGCACGCGGTGCCGCTCCACATTGGCCGAAACAACGTCGAACCATATTAGCAAGTGCCCGTCGCTAGCGGCTCTGCTCTTGCAGTCTCTTATCTCGTTGCTCTCAAGAATAGTTCCTATTACCTCTTGAGTGTCTCAGCTGGAGCTGCATGGGCAGCGGCTGACTGGCCGCGAGTGCTGGTTGAGGGGAGGCGGGTGGACACCATAAAAAACGCGGGGCCACGTAGCAGCAGTGCGCGTCTCTCGCAGGAGCGTCTCGCCTCCGTTACGTGCCAGTCGGTGCCGCACTAACTGACCCGTAATCCCTAACGCCGGGCAGGTTGCAGAATGTGCGCGTGCGCGCGTCGGTGCAGTGCGGCACGCGGCTCGCCACGCAGTGCCTGCATGGTGCGACAGGGCGCGGGACGCCTCGCTGCACCGCCGGTGGAGGTGGGGGGGGTGGCGCTTCCTCCTCGTGCCACTGGGGGGTTGCCATCCTGCCCTGGTTTGACCTGGACAGGCCGGCAATAGGCGTCAGCGTTAGGCAGGCAGCTCTCGCGTGTCCAGGTTGACGGTGGACTGCTCGGCGTTGATGGACCTCGCCTCGCCGAAGAGCGTGTCCGGGTTTGGTCAGTGTACAAGGTTCGGCGGCCTTAGCACGGAGTGCACACACTGCAATGCGACCTCCAGCCTCAGAACAGTTTTATATTGGTCACCCACTTTTTATGCATATAAATTGAGGTAATGTATTAAAATCCCATTTCAATATTAATGTTCCTGACGTGTATAACACTGAGTGTCACTTTTGGCAAATCGATTTTAAGACTATAGACACCTTAACATCTGCTAAGTGCCCATCATAATATTGCATCGCTTCTTTCATCGCTTCCCATATATACACTGTATGAAGTCATTTTGAATTGCCTTTTTGATTGGAGTTAACACTGAACTTTACGGAATCATTTTCATTTGAGTCAGGTTATATCTTTTTAACTCCACGTGGGCTATTCAATGCATATATTTTACGCCTCTTCAATCCATCTCTATCCTCGGCGATGGCAGCCGCAGTTCCGCACTTCCGCATGTCACGCACTTGGCATAACGCTCCCAGGGGGCAATCCCACTTTGGCTGGAGCACAAGTTTCTTGCACCGCTCTCTCTCTTCCCCTGTCCGTGACAATTCACCGATCTAAATCGCATTGTAAGCTACGTTCTTGTGACGCAAGTACCTCCGCACCTTCGATTCGCACGGTTGGCTGCATACACGGTGTGAAATAAGTTCAGTGTACACACAAAGAAGTATTTTTTTTCAAAAAGAGATTTTTTTAAAATTGCAGTGCATAACTCGCTGATGCCGCATTGTCAAACGGTTCCCTACTTTGAGTGAATTACAGTCCAGTGTTTTGTTACCCTGCCATGTCTAATCATGCTTTTAACTTTTTTATGTTTTCAAATGGTGCTTTGGATGAATTTACAATAAAAACATATTTTATTCACTTTGTCGTATGAGGACTTCATTACAGTATTGTTATGCCCATTTTCAGGAAGGTCCTGCCATGTATTCACAATGTCGCTGCAGTGTAATATCAGCAGACTACATTGGAGGGTAATTTCCAGCATTGGGATGTTTGGCCAATACCAGTTACGTTGTTTTGTTTTAGCTCTGGGAGGAAATTGGAGAAGGCGAAGAAAACCCATGCAGGACAGTGGGAGAACATACTCCTGTGGTGGAAATGGGCTGGGACGCCGTGGTGGGGAGGTGAACATTTTAACCTGATTGCATTCCAGAAGGAATCCTCTTTTCTTTAAAAAATACTTACAGATAGACCCCTCGACTATATAAGAGATACCCACAGACACGTACAGAAACCCAGACGCTTAGAGACCCACAGACACGCAGAGACCCACATGGAGCAAAGCTCCGCCCCTTCTCAGATCTAGGGGGAATAATTAATTTACAGAAAGGCGTCCTAATGAGGGATCTAATCTAGCCCCTTCTTGCTGCGAGGCACAAGTGTCACCACTGCTCCACCTGCGACCAATGGCCTGTTTGAAGCATTGACCCCCTCCCCCCCCTGTGGGTGGGTGGCAGGCCGGACAGTGTCTCTTCCTCACTGGTGCGGACATACTACGGAGGGTTTGGGAAGCCGCGACACCCTGGGCGGTGTCGATGTTCCGCGCTGTGGCGCGAACCGTCTCCAAGCCTTGAGAAGCTCCACTCGACAGCGGCGGCTCCTCTCGTAGAGCAGAAGGTGGCGTGGGGTGGCGGGGCAGAGAAGCCGTTGAGTGTGGGAGGGGGCACAGTAGCAGTGACTCACCGCTAAGGAGGATAGTGAAATTGGGTGGCCAAAGGGACATTTGGTGGTGTCAGATGACCCCCCCACGCTCCCCCCGACTCCTGCCCCCATTCACAGAATCCGGTGTCTTGTGCTCGCATTTTGGGAAGTCATCGCTGAGTGACGCTGCAAAGGATCTCTCCCACAGGAGGCGTCCGTTAGATGGGGACCCCGGGGGACCCCCCTCCCCGCCCTGCAGAAGGACAAGGCGACCTCGCTGCAGCCCTCACGTGTCCATCAACGCTACGAGCGATGGATACTTCACCTCCCCATTGGGCGTGTGGTCAGAGGCGCAGCAACTATGGGTAGGGGTGGCAGCGTGATGCAACGCATAGGGGCTCCGAATCAACAGATAAACAAGTAACAACATGTTAAGATGTTTTAGTTTAATGTATTAATTAGAAATAATCTGCGGTCTACCATGGATCAAGCCCCGTTATCGTGTCAATATAGCAGCACAGAATCCTAGAGCGATGGGGGAAACGGCATGAAAGCAACACGCACGATTACTTGTGAGTAGCATTGTTACCTTTAAATATATTTGTATTAATACCGTCACCGTGAGACTGTCTTCCTCCAAACGGTGCGACTAAATTAATATATAGTTACAATCTTGATTTAAAGCTTTCGTGACTGCAGGAATCCATACTCTTTGGTTCTTTCGGTAAAGTCACGTAGGTAGAAAATAAATCACGACGTTTCGGGTGCAACACAAGCGTCCATCAGGTGGGAAAGCATGGTCTGCTGCTGAGGCAGACTGTTTTGAAAGGTTTGAAATGGGTGTAGCCCAAAGGTCATAAAGAAGTGGCCGGGACTATTGATGTTATTGTGAGAAATTAGCATGTAACTGTAAGATAGGAAAGCGGCCTGCTTGACGAGGGCACGGAAGTGGCTATGTTAATGTGAGAGATTAGCATGATGTTAATGTGAAAACGAAGAGTGGTGCAATCCAAAGGCATGAGAGTGCAATCCAAAGGACATGTGAGCATGAGAGTACAATCACAAGGACGTGAGCATGAGAGTGCAATCCAAAGGACATGTGAGCATGAGAGTGCAATCCAAAGGACATGTGAGCATGAGAGTGCAATCTCAAGGACATGTGAGCATGAGAGTGCAATCCAAAGGACATGTGAGCATGATAATGCAATCCAAAGGACATGTGAGCATGAGAGTGCAATCCAAAGGACATGTGAGCATGAAAGTGCAATCCAAAGGACATGTGAGCATGAGAGATCTAAGAGAGAGGCATCGAGAGAGAGAGACAGAAAGTCGGAAATAACAGCTGACATGGGCAGGTAGGATGGAAACATCGCAATCAGTTAAGACTTTACCTGGTTAATAACGTCCTTCCAATGATTGCTCAATTTGTACCCATCTTTTTGAAGTTGTGTCTGTGTTTATATATCTGGATGGCTTCATGAATAAATCTCTGAAGGTAGCCAGTAGGTTTGCAGAATACCTCCGTCTGGAAAAATCTATTTCGTGAGCCCACAGCGTTAAAATAATGATCAGCCTCTCTCTTAGATCTCTCATGCTCACATGTTCTTTGGATTGCACTCTCATGCTCACATGTTCTTTGGATTGCACTCTCATGCTCACATGTTCTTTGGATTGCACTCTCATGCTCACATGTTCTTTGGATTACACTCTCATGCTCACATGTCCTTTGGATTGCACTTTCATGCTCACATGTCCTCTCTCATGCCTTTGGATTGCACCACTCTTTGTTCTCACATTAACATAATGCTAATTTCTCGCATTACCATGATGTTATTCTCTCACATTAACATAATGCTAATTTCTCACATTTGCATGCTAATCTCTCACATCAACATAGCTACTTCCGTGCCCTCGTCGAGGAGGGTGCTCTTTTATCTTACAGTGACACGCTAATTTCTCACATTAGCATCACTAGCCCCGGCCACTTCTTTATGACACGGGCTACACCCATTTCAAACCTTTTAAAAGTCTGCCTCAGCAGCAGACCATGCTTTCCCACCTGATGACGGACGCTTGTATTGCGCCCGAAACGTCGTGATCTATTTTATTTTATACCTACGTGACTTTCCCGAAAGAACCAAAGAGTATATTTAGTTATAGCCTAACATTATTGCATGCGGGGTTAAACACGTCAGTAGTAGCTATTTCAGTGAAAATTGAGAGCTGGGTAAAGGAGGGGGGTGCACAGTAGAATCTTGCACAGCGCCCCACCCTTCTCCCCCCAGTCGACGTCGCGTTCAGCTGCGCCCTTGCGTGTGGGACACGGATCAAGTCAGTCTACGATTCTCTCGTATAACGCCTGGATGTGTTGAACTTCCTTCGCACCATACGTAGCCAACCGTGCTCATCGGGGGGTGCGGGGGAAGGACAACACTCAACACAACGAAGTTCGGAAGAAATGAGTTTCATCAGTCTAGACGATGTAAAGTGCAAAGCTTATAGTGGCTTCCTAATATCAAAATAACGTTACTAGATTGAAGCGTTTTTACACATCCCATCAGCCACGCGGCTTTCGGGGAGGGCTTAATTTAAGCAGGATTGGTTCAACAAAGACAAATGTCTTCCGTGCAGCCTTAATAGACTGTTGGGGCAAGTGCTGTTAGCGAGTAGCAGCAGAGATTCGCGGATGGAGAAAGCCCCACGTGAGACCATCCCCCCGTGCTGATTGGCTTCCCTCCGCATCAACATAATCCATCATTCGTTCTGTCGCCGATTCATTCCATCCCCGTTGCAGCGCGCTCAACCAATCACCTTCCACCAACGCTCTCCCTCCCACCCTGGCTCACTTGAGCCGCGTAGAGTGGCTCGTGTGGTCGCGAGGGGTGCAGTACTGCACGCGGTCCGTCGGGTGGCGCTCAGCCCACGCAGATGTCCCGAGCTGTAAACTATTGAACCAGGTGAGGCCTTTTTCAGAACACGACCTGGTCACAAATGACAGCTCAACGGAGCCTGGCCACTTTATCGTGCGGAAATGTATCACAGCTAAATACTCGAAACGTGGAAGGGGAAAAATAAAAATCGGAGGTCCCGGAGAAGAATTCACGCAACCACGGGGAAAACTTGCAAACTCCAAATATATAGAGGCGTCAGGATCGAACCCACGCCCTCCTGTATACCAGGCAAGGGAGTTAACATCTAGCCAGCGTGGCGCTGAACACAGAGCATCTATCGGTCGTGTGCCAGAACGGAGAATTGTTGAGCAGCGTCACAAAAATAAAAGCAGGCAAATCCGCCTTCTGCACGCAATCTGTCCCGTAAAGTACTAGCCTACGTGTTAAATATAAAAGTGTTATACACGTACGATTAGCATGGTCGGCTACGTACGGTGCGAAAGAAGTTCAACATACATTTATAGTTCGACGTCAAATGAATACCAAGCAGCGGTTCCATTAAACTTTTAAAGGGTCCCAAACAAAAGTCGCTACTGACCGTGATGGGGATGCCTCTTCGAGGCCATACATGCGTCATATATTTGCTAACCACAATCAGCGATACCCCTAAGTGATTTAAGGCTAAGTCGCCCTAGGTGCGCACGCCCACTGGGAGAATAGCACGGCGCGTGGTGACACGGACTCAACACTACGATCCACAAACACGAAGGAGAAATCACAGCGATGACACACTACTCCACTGCTCCTGACTCGGTGAGCTGGGCTTGACCGACCTGAATGTGAGATTGTAGTTGTTGCTCTGCATCTACATCAGCAGCCTTATGACAACAACAAGAAGAAGAAGACTGCGGGTTCCGTGCATGGCACTGGCACGAGGTGAAACGCAACGAGACGCAGCCAGACCACGTGATGCAAACCTGTGGTGAAAGCGTCGGAGCCCCAACACCCATAACACACGTGTGGTGCCTCTATCCACGAGGCACCGAGTGTCCAAAGCAGTCCAGAGTGTTAGCTTGTGTTGAACCAATGCAGCTGAATTCAAGCATACACAACAACCACAACTCAACACATCCCGTCAACAACACCGTGGCCTTAATAGGAAACAAAGCAGCTCTACTGGTCCCCCACCCCCCACTATTTACTCCGTGTCGGCTGATGGGATGTGTTAAACATACTGGTATATTTTGTGTGGGGGGACCACTGCTGTGTGGAGGAGTCGAATGGTCTGCTTGTATATGTTTTTACTTATTTATTCTGTATAACGACGCG